ATCTCTTTGAATTTGACCTATCGTCTGGGGCCAAGATTGCCACACGTCATCTGATTCCAACCGGGGCTGCTCGTCCAATCAAGGTTCCTGTTCGTCGTCGGTCACCTAAGGAGATCAAGATTTTACGAGCCAACGTGAAGGAAATGCTGGAGAAGGGTGTTATTCGGAAGTCGCAGAGTCCTTGGGCATGTGAACCTCATCTTGTGACGAAGCCTGATGGGAGTATTCGTTTCTGCATCGACTATCGTCCGTTAAACGAAGTGACGATCCCAGATGTGTATCCTCTTCCTCACACTGCTGATCTCTTAGATCGTTTGGGGCGAAGTCGTTGGTTCACCAAGCTAGATCTTGCTTCTGGGTATTGGCAAGTACCGATGGCCGAAGAACATATTCCTAAGACTGATTTTCGTACACCATTTGGTTTGTACAAGTTCTTGGTGATGCCGTTTGGTTTGAACAATGCTCCAGCAACTTTCCAGCGGATGATGGACGAGGTTCTTTGCGATATGCCAGAAGTGACTGCTGACTTCATTGATGATGTCTTGATCCACTCGGAGGGGACGTGGGAGGAGCACATTCGTGATGTTTGTAAAGTGTTGGATCGGCTACGTGATGTTGGTTTAAAGCTGAAGCGGTCAAAGTGCGTGTTTGGGTCCAAAGACACAACTTATCTTGGGTACCGTATTTCTCGTGAAGGTTTGCAAGTTGATCCTGACAAACTTGTGGCTGTTCTAAAGTTCCCTACTCCGAAGTGTGTGAATGATGTGCAGCGCTTCTTGGGTAAGGTGTAGTATCTCGGTCGTTTTGTGGATCATCTTTCCGATCGCACTACACCATTGCGAGCGTTGCTGAAGTCATCAACGTCATCTTTCATCTAGTCTCCGGATTGTGAGCGGGCGTTCGTGGATCTCAAGGAGCTATTGACGACTCCTCCGGTTTTGGCATATCCTGACTACACTCGACCTTTTATTTTGTGCGTGGATGCTTCTGACATTGGTCTTGGCGGTGTGTTGATGCAAAAAAGCTCGAGTGTACCTGGTCAGCGCCATCCCATTGCATACATCAGCCGTACATTACAACCAGCGGAGATGAACTACTCCACGACGGAGAAGGAGTGTTTAGCAGCAATCTGGGGTTTCGAGAAACTTCATGCATATCTACATGGTTCTCAAACGTTACTTGAAGGTGACCATGCTACTGTTACTTCATTATTGAAGCGGAAGAACCTGGTTGGTCGTACGGCTCGGTGGGCTTTGAAGCTTCAAATATATGATTTCGATGTTGTTCATCGCCCAGGGAGTTCTATGGCTGATGCTGATGCCCTTTCTCGAGCTCCTCTTCCTTCTCCACTCACTTCTCATGTTTCTGACGAACCTGTTGTTCCAGCATCTGTGGATTTTCTAGATGAGGATTCTGTGCCGTCGGCGGTTGCTGTCCTTGATGTTCAGTGTCCACAAGGCGCAGAGCAAGATCTACCTTCTCTCGATGAGGTTCGCGAGGCTCAAAAGATTGAGCTGTGGATTCGAAGGCTTCGAGATGGGTTTGAGAATCCTGCATCACTTGTTGATGACTTGCCTTTCAGGCATTTACATTCTCAATATCGCCTTGAAGATGGCCTTCTTTATTTTGTGGGGACGGATCCTGATGATCATTTACGGCTGGTGGTGCCTTTGGTGTTTATTCCGCGGTTTCTCCATGCCTACCATGATTCTCCTATTCTAGGTGGGCATATGGGACACCGTCGTGTCACCGAGAAATTGCACAGGTCTTTCTATTGGCCGGAGATGCGACGTGATATTATTCGGTATGTGCGTAGCTGCGTTTGGTGCCAAGCTCGTAATACTCCCCCTCGTGCTACGGAAGGACGGTTGGAGTCAATTGCAGTTTCCCGTCCGTTTGAGTTGGTGGCATTTGATCTTATGGGACCTTTTCCACGGTCGACTGCTGGCAATGAGTATGTTATTATTGCTTCTGACTACTTGACTCATTGGGTGGAAGTTTGTGCTCTTGCTAGCGCCTCGGCAACTGCTGTTGGATACTTCCTCCTCAATCGAGTAGTGTTCCAGCATTCTTGTCCAGAGCGGATTCTTTCGGATAATGGTCCTGCATTTATGGCTGAGGCATTTCATGTTTTGACGTCTCGGTTGGGGATATGCCACACTTTCACGAGTGCTTATCATCCACAATCAGACGGTCTGGTGGAACGACTCGTTCGGACATTCAAAGGGATGATTGCGAAGTATGTGAACTTTCAGCATTCGGATTGGGATGGTTATTTGCCGTCTCTTCGGTATGCATATGTTACAGGGGTGCAGAGTTCTGTTGGTGCTTCACCATATAAACTCCTATATGGTCATGATCCAATATTACCAACAGAGCTGGGTTTACCTTCGCGATTGCCACGAGCTGCCGATGCTAGATCATGGGACTGTAAGCGACTAAATTTTCCATTTTACTTTAGTCACTTAACCACACCTCCGACCATTTGGAGGAGTCTCATTCACAACCTCCATAAGTCCAATTCAGGACTTGGGACTTGCTAGCCCCGAGAATGGCATCCATACCACTCAACATTTGCACTTGGTCCAAGTGCTCCACGTGTCCGATCCCACGACCGACACTCAAAGGTACCACCGACATAGCAGCTTGTTACGCTAAGGTCATGCCCAATCACCTTTGCCACACTGGTAGTCCAATACCACTTGCATCACAGTCTTGGCTCTCCAAGACTAGGCAAACCATCCGTGAGTGGTCATCTCAGATCCACTCCTCAGCATCCTTAGGATGCCCACCGACAAGGGGGATAGCCTTCCCCAATATCCCTCTGTCAGTCCCCACTAAGTCCCTTTCTGCCCCTGGCCGTGTTTGCCAACACTGCCACTGGATCAAGACCCACAGGCCCGACCACTAAGTCCCACGGTCCTCTGGGACTTCCTCACCACACGACTGTGTCCTTGGTCACTACCCCAGAGGACTGCTCCTCTTCCATTTCCACAGTCTGGGCCTTTGGGGCAACATTTCGGAACACCGTGGCCTTACGCGAGCCACCTGGGTACTCTCCTCGCCTTCTGCCCTTGGGTGCTCTAGCCATGGGCTTAGAGCGGGTTCCGTTGAGCCACGCCAGGTATCCAAGTAGGTAGTGCCACCCACACTTGGACTGGGAGCATCGGCTAGTCGATCTCCCGGGGGAACTAGAGCCGGCTCTTGAACACTTCACCAAGCTACCCCGCTTGTCGGTCCGTATTCACTCTAGTCTTGGACTTCCCAGTGGGCAGCTCATCACCCAACACTGGGTATGGCCTTCTCGGACCAAACTGGCCCTTCCTGGGCCAAACTGGCCCTTCTTGGCCCAACTGGCTCCACTGGGCTCCAACCCCCACACTCTCCCTACTATACTTTTGGAACCCCCCGCAGCCCCCCCCCCCCCCCCCCTGGGGGACGATCGCTTTGGGCTTTCACCCAACTGCCTGTATTAGTATTCGGACTCGGACTCGGGCTCGAACTCAGACTCGGACTCGGTCTCGGTCCTGGTTTCGGACTCGGACTCGGTCTCGGTCTCGGTCTCGGCCTCGGTCTCGGCCTCGGTCTCGGTTCCATCTCGGACTCCATCTCGGACTCCATCTCGGGTCCATCTCGGACTCCATCTCGGGTCCATCTCGGGTCCATCTCGGACTCCATCTCGGGTCCATCTCGGACTCCATCTCGGGTCCATCTCAGGTCCATCTCGGACTCCATCTCGGACTCCATCTCAGACTCCATCTTGGGTCCATCTCAGGTCCATCTCGGACTCCATCTCGGACTCCATATCGGACTCCACTTCGGGTCCATCTCAGACTCCAACTCGGGTCCATCTCGAGTCCATCTCGGACACTTCCACGTGTCATGTGTTGGTCCTTTTGGGTCCCTTTTTGGAGCCTCGCTTTTTGCTCGCTTCGTGCTCATTCCTCGAGCACTTCATTGGGAGTTCCCCTCCCGCTCTTGACTTTTTAAGTCGGAGCTTTTGGTCTAAACGTGTTACGCTCGTTTGGCTCTCGCTTTGGCCACTACCACGTGGCGCCCTTCCGGCTCCACTTTGGGGCCTAGGGATTTTGTGTCTCAAAGGGACCAGTATTTGACAAGCATTCTTCCACTTGTCCAAGCAGAGTCTGCCGAACACTTAGGCCGCGTACAAGTGGGACAACAACGGCGTTACAACTCTCATCATCGTCCACCTGTGGAGTACAAAGTGGATGATTTTGTGTTAGTCCGTTTTCCCCATCTTACGGTACGTGGTTTATCTAAGGGGCTTCTTGCGCAATGGAAAGGACCGTATCGGGTGTTGCGGCAAATTGAACCACAAGTTTATGAGGTTCGGCATGACGTTCAGCAGGCCGATCCTCCAGAGATTGTGCATGTGCAGCGGCTAAACGCTTCGTACAAAGGGATCTGGAGGAGTTAATACCACCTACAGATCCACCGATGCCTCCTCCTGACGTTCCTCCGGATCCCGGCCCATCTTCAAGAGAACCGTGATGGTCTTCCATTATCCCGAGAGGAGGGGATGATGTGAGGGCCAAGTGTACGGTTACGATGCCGTATATTAATATTAGCGTAGTGGAATTTTGGTAGCCGTCGGATTGGTTTCAATCCGGACCTCTCGCTCCTGTATATAAACTAGGGTTTTTGGGTTAATGGATATGCACATTTCTGTATTCCCTTTCCATATTCCATGCATTCACAACATCTAATTAAATATATATTTATGCCTAATACAAATATCTTCAATACCAATAAATATTTAACCTATTCTAATTCATATAAAATATATTTTAAAACTTTTTGAATTGGTTTTTATAATCGTGGCCAATCTTGCCCAACTCAAAAACCTAGAGCTATTACTATACTCCTATATTTCCAACTCAAAGAACACGATGAAGTGGCGTGGATGGCGCTCATCACTGGGTTTGCGCGGCAGAAAGATTGCAAGAGTGCAAGCTATGGCATGAAGGTTTACACGATGGTTTAAGAGAAACTCTAGTAAAATGTGTTCGCCCAGCTTCAGCGTACCTTTCTTCTTTATTTCCTCGGCTTGAGACGACTTGGACAAGATCTTAAAGTCGGCAGAGTCCAAAAACTTGCTCAACGCGGCATGTCCATGGAATTCAAGTAATCGCTACTTGTACTCGTTGAGGAGCTCATTACCTGGCCAAAGTGAAAGGGAGCTTGAGTGGGATCCCAGCAACATGGCCACAACGTCACTCATTGTTGGTCGAGCTTCCTCATGTTCTTGTGTACACAGCATGGCAACACGGAGCAGCCTAGAAACCTCCTCCACCGCGTAGTCACCGCCCAGCCTCTTGTCAATGCATTCGCTCATCCTGTTTGCCATGACGAGTTTCCAAGACTGCAGCCATGACACCATGGGTTATCGGTTCTAATTTGATCGACTTACCAGTTGAAGTAAGAGCTCTTCTTCGGCTGGCAATGCCGGATCCACGCACTTTCTGCCGCTGGCGATCTCCAGGACGAGGATTCCATAGCTGAAGACATCGGCTTTGGCCGTCAATCGCCCTCGAGTTGCATACTCGGGTGCCATGTATCCACTAGAAGAATGGCGTGAGTTTCGTCCAGACTGTGGAAGGAAGAGGAGATCAAACTTACAGTGTGCCGGCCACCTTTGTGCTCGTGACGCCGAAGCCTTTGTCCAAGTCGAAGAGCTTTGATATCCCAAAGTCGGAGATCTTTGGCTGCAGCTTGTCGTCCAAGAGGATGTTGCTGGCTTTGATGTCTCTGTGGATAACCTGGACATGGGACTCCTCGTGCAAGTAACCAAGACCACGAGCTATCCCAATGGCGATTTGAAAGCGTGACTGCCAGTCAAGGAACGCGTTTGATCCAGAACCTGCGGATAAAGCTTCTCGTTAGAAAGAATGGAGAGAAACAAGGATTATTACTGAAGAGTGCTCGGTCAAGGCTGCCTTTGTTGAGGAACTCGTAGACGAGCAGCCTTTCATCTGCCTCAACGCAATAGCCTTTGAGCCTTACAAGATTTCGGTGCTGAATTCCCGTGATAATGGTGATCTCGTTCACGAACTCTCTTTTGCCTTGGTTAGACTGCAAGGAGAGCTTCTTCACTGCTACTTGCGAGCCATTGTTTAAGGTGGCCTACAGGAAACAGGATAGTTCTAGGCGTGCAACTTCACAGAATAAAGAACTAACCTTGTAAACAGTTCCAAATCCACCTTGTCCAAGCTTGTTCCTCTCGCTGAAGCTATCAGTGGCTAGAGACAAATCCTGGTACGTGAACACAACAGGACCCTCAATGCTTCCTGTTGTCAACGAAGCAAACCACGTCAAAAACGGGAAGAACACTCGAGAGAAAACAACACTTACTTTGGATGTCGGTATCGTCTCCACGCCTGTGGCGCCCAACCAACTTGGTATGCATCCTCCATCTCCATATGGCAAAGCCAGCAACACCCAAGAGCAAACAAAGCCCCACTGCTCCTCCCACGAGTCCCCATCGCCACACTAGAGCTCTATTGTCTCTAGAAGAGGAACTGGATGCTCGAGCCGGAGGAGAAGAACTTAACGGAGGTATTGGAGCTGGCGCAGGAGCTGAAACATTTGGACCCAGCACCCCCAATACACCTAAATTTCTCATATGAGATGCATCCTCCCTTATAGAAACTTACTCATATTGACCAGCTCGGGAGTAAAGTTGTAGTTCTCGAATCTAATGCGGCAGCGATTGGAGGTGTCGTTGGTCCAAAGCACGCCACCCACGGCAAGAGGAGCCAGTTGCTGGAACTCACTGTAGGTCTGCTGGATGCACGAGGCGCAGCTTGTCTGATCCGACATGTTGTAGCAGCCAGTGTGGCCGTAAGCGGTGTCGGGGAAATCGCCATAGCCAAGGCATGACGCGAATCCATTGGGAGGATTGTGTTCGTAGAGGAACTGGATGACCGTCTCCACATTCTTTTGGAACTGGCTCCCTTGGGTGGTCTTGCGGGTGTTGTAATACGCGACACCAGGTCTGGCGTCGCTGCTTGGCTCGTCGGGTGGAATGCCTTGCGCTGCCGAGCGATCGAGCAAGAACAGGGGGATCATCCATAGCAAGCTCAAGAGCGCCATTGCCGTGCTTCACGCGGCTGAGCCAAAGAGAGTATGTCAAGTCCAAAGCTGGTCAAGTCACACTCTAGCTGGTCAAAGTCATGCTCTCACATCTTTTCCAGCTTTTTTCCATACTTATAGCTGAGAGTGAGAGAGAGAGAGAATAAAGAAGCAAAGATTGCAAGGAAGCTCGATTACCTTTAGTTATAAGTACACAGCAAAGTATAAAAATTCCCAGTGTATATCCCGGGTAGCATCACAAAAGGTGCCCGAATTTTTTCCCATCTTATAAAAAATATCAGCCTCCTCTCCCTCCACCGCCATAGCCTTTTTCTGCCACTTTGTACACCGAAACCTGTAATTTTCGTAGTCCTCACGTACACACCATAAACCACACGAGATCATCAGCCAGGCAAAGAGCTCGACGATTACCCCCCAGTTTTTCGCGTCTCGACAATCACCGCCGCGTCCCGAGGGGAGCGCTCGAAGCTTTCCCCGGATCCGTCTAGACCGCATGGGGAAGGAGCCTCTCGCAGGTCCGAGCCAGCGACTGGAGATTGCAGCGCACCACCGTGTTGGTGAAAGTGAGCGTGTCCTCCCGGGTGTTCCCGTCCGGGATCTCCACCACGTACGACTCCATCACCAGCGTCCCCGGCCGGTCCTGGACCAGCGTCTCGTGCAGCGTCGTGATGGACCTGTAGTTCCTGAGCCTGTGGTCGCCATCCAGCACCTTGAAGCTCAGTATGTGCTTGTCCTCGTCCAGGATCTCCAGCTGCTCCTTGCTCGTCGTCGCCGGGAGCCCCGACACCACCGTGATCTCCCGGGTGCTCCCCACTTTGAGGTCGCCCTGCGTGGAGCAGCTGCGTATGAATCGCTTGTAGCACTGCGGCTGGTCGAACCGGCGAACCACTGACCAGACCACCTCCACCGGCGCTCGGACCTCCTGCACCAGCACGGAGCAGCACTCGTTGGAAGCCGGCTCGTGAGTGTGGTGCTCGCCGACAGCCTCCTCCATTCTAGCGCTCTCCCGCTCCAACTCTTCTATCCATTCTCCTGTAGAGGGCGCAACAGTTTCCTGCCAGCGGAGGAAATCAAGCGCGCGCGCGCGCCCCTTGCTTGTCAGGCCCCGCAATTCACAATGCAAAACAAGGAATCGATCACACAGGAATGGATCTTTTCACTCTTTTCTAGCCACCGCCCTAGCAAGCAGCTACCAGCAAGCAGCAATGGCATGAAATTCTGGCAATGCGCTGCTTACCTTGCACATACCAGCTGCTGGAGAAGATCCTAGCGACGAAATTGCGCGGCCAGCAGTGACTTTCACTCCCGCGAGATCATGTCAGAGCCAAAAGCCCTAGATAGCAAATCCACCGACCATATCTATCTGGGAATATGCCGCGGGCATCTCCTTGTCCGTACGATGCGCATTAGGGCGAGCGCGGGCGATGGCGGCCAGCAGCAGCAGCAGCAGCGGCAGCAGCGATGGCGGCGGCGCCAGCGGCAGGCGCGCCATCACCAGCATCGTCGACGACCAGGGCGTGTACAGCTCCCGGTGTGGCTACTGCAAATCCGAGCGGATGAGCAGCGTAGCTCACGGTGAGCGAAGTATGTGTGCTGTGGCTGGTCTTGACTGGGAATTTTGCGTGCTTCTTGGCAGGAATGGCCGCTCGCAGGCTTCACGTGAACGATTATCAAGGTATCTCTGTGATCTCTTCCTCTCGATTGGTGAAAGTTTTGTTTTATTTTTTCTTCTCCAGAGCTGCTGGATCGAGGGTGGAGACGATCTGGAAGTTTTCTCTATAAACCCGAGGGAAGGACGTGCTGTCCTCCCTACACCATTCGGCTCAAAGTGGACGCGTTCGTTCCTTCCAAGGAGCAAATCCGTGTAAGACGTCGCATGAACAGGCAAGAGCTAGAACTTTATCGGTCTTTGACGCGCACTTTTGACGATCTATCACAAGCAGGTATCTAGAAGGCGACTGCATTGGAAAAGATGATGATGCCTCCAAGGGAACTATCAGTGGAATGGAGACTGGGAAAGAAGAGGATGGAGTCTCCGCGGCCCTTGTAGATAGCTTGAAGGCAGCGATAAGGGATTGGATGGTGGATGCCGGTGTAGGCTCGGACTTCCAGGTTCCGGATGTTGGAGTTCGCAGGATATCGGAGAAGGTTAGAAAAAAGCTCCAGGAGGGGAGCACTTCTGAGTGGGAAGCGAGCTACACGAGCAACGCTGCGTTTTTAGTGGCATCGGCCTTGAAGAAGAGGCGCAATTTAGATGGTGGTCAGCTAGCTATGGAGGTGGTACCGGCGGACTTGGCTTCTCAGCTGGCAGCGAAGCTCTCGGCTAAACAGCTGAGCGGTGTAGTTGTGAAGGCTTGCAAGGGTCACGTCAACTTTTATCTCTCGAGCTCAGCCAAGGGGAAATCTTCTGTGGCTGCCATCCATGGCGAAACAAAAGCTGGCAATGGAGATGGAGAAGCTCCGGTACACAGGGTGAAGCGGACTTTGGAGGTGCGAATGCAAAGGTCGGCATTTGATCGTGAATCGTTTGAGCTTTACAAGAAATACCAGGTTCTTGTCCACAACGACAAGCAGGTCCTGGAATCGTCGTATCGAAGATTTCTGGTGGATTCTCCATTACTTCCTTTTCAAAGTGCCTCCACTAGCTATGGCTCTTTCCATCAGCAGTACAGAATCGATGGACGCCTTGTTGCTGTGGGGGTTGTCGACATTCTTCCAAAGTGCCTTTCCAGCAAGTATTTGTTTTGGGATCCCGACTTTGCGTTTCTTTCTCTGGGAAAGTTTTCGGCATTGCAGGAGATCGAGTGGGTTAAAGCTGCCGCCGAGCCATCGTTACAGTATTATTATCTCGGTTACTACATACACTCCTGTCCAAAGATGCGCTACAAGGCGGCCTACGCGCCAGCGGAGCTTCTCTGTCCTTTGACGCTAAAGTAAGCTTTCAAGTTTTACCGCATAGTAAGAAACTAATGTGTGCTTGATAGATGGATACCCTTTGGTATTGCTCGTCCACTTGTGGAAACCGGGGCCTTTGTTCGACTTTCAGGCGAGAACAAACAAGCCGATATCACAAGCAACGGCACCGAAGCTCTCGAGCTACACGAGACTCCCAAGAACCTCGGTGAAGTTCCCATTGTTCTCTACAGCAGCGGTCGATGCATCTTACTCAAGGTATCATCTTTTTCTTTCAATTCCCATTTAGTCTCGGATGGTTTCGATACACCAGGATTTGGAACTAGCAGCTCCAAAGCGCTTCATTGAAGGACTGAAGTGGCAACTGTTGCAGTATTGGCAGCTTGTTGGGGAGGGCCTCGCATCTCGAATGGCGTACGCCATCCAGTCCAAGTTTTCCTGACTGAAAACGACTTACATGTACGGCCACTATTGTATTTTCCGATTCGATTCTCATAAAGCAGCACGCTTGCGAGACGAGTTCATGTATGGCCGGATGACCCACTCGTTCTGTGCCTCGGTTTGGTCCACCGTTCCCAGCTTGATTTGATACAGCCTCAGCTCGAAGCGCGGTCCTACCTCCTTGAGCTCGATGGATTTGACGCCCCCCTGCTTTTCGTAGACGTGGTGCCTGCGAATCAAACAACGAAACGTGCTGGCTTCAGACAGGAAAAATGCGGAGATGGAATGTGCCTGAAAGAGATGTAGTCCTGCTGGTTTGCGAATGTGATTAAACGCTTCGAGTCCGGCTTCGGGACGGGGAAGAGGTATTTGAGTATGTTTGAAGTTCTCATTCCCAGCTGGAAGAGAGACAAAAAGTCAGAAACGAAAACGGATAAAGACGAAGAAAACTTGCACCTTGGTGTTGAAGTTATTGAGTATTAGATGTGGATATGCTTCAGACATTGTTCCCAGGCCTTTCTTGTCCTTGATATCGTGCCTCGTTACCTGCATAATGGCTCATTAATCAGCTTGGTTCCTAGAAACTTCAAGAAAAAAACTTTAAACACCACTACTCACCACATTCATGAGACCGAAATACGCAGTCGGACCATACGGGAGATGGCAGACGATCAAGCCATCCGGCTCTCCTCTGTGTTCATGAACCATGATTATGTCGGTAAAATCGTGAGCTCGACAAGATTCCACGATCTCTGCAATCACCTGTCCAAAAAAGCTTAGTTTCTACGGGGAAAAGCGTGAATGGCGAACCTGTCCTCCACGGTTCATCCTTTGCGCATTTGGAAAGACGATCTTTAGTTCCTGTAAACAACCGGCCAGAACATTTTTCCTAGACTCATGGTAACACCTCAAGCTACCTTGACAAACTGCGTAAGTCGACTACTAGGATCGCGGGAAGTGGTCAGGAGAATTTTCGGATCAACCTCTCCAGCATAAGCGTACTCATCATCGACGTGCGTAGTAGGCTCTGAAACACGAATACACACACCCCCATTCACTAAACAATCTCGACGACGCAAAAACGTAAGAAAGAACCTGCCGTGTTGTCATCCTCGAGGTCGATTTCCTGCCTCAAAGACGCCTCATCGTTCCGCAACTCAGTCGGCAATGGCTTCCCTTCTACGAAAGCGCAAAAGAAAAAAAAGAAAAAAGAAACGCTGCTCATCTCCTCGCAAAAAGAGATTCTCGTACCTTGCAGCGCCTGCTTGATCTTGCGCTTCTTCTCGTACACCTCGCGCTCCTTGCCCTCCAAGCTCTTGCGATACAGATACTCCCGCCGGAGACGGGCATTCCGCCGGATCATCGCCCCCAAGAGCCCTAGCAAAAGCCCTAAATCCCAGCACAGAATATTCCACACAGCATCACCGAATATTCGTAAAACGCCCTTTCGGAAAAGGTGAAAAGTAAAGTAAAGAAAAGAAAAGATTGCCACGAAGGCAATGTGATTCATGCAACGCAGGTGGGCGCAAAAATATCAACGTGTGACATGGCGCGAGGCTGGCCATTCTCGCGCTGCCACGAAGCCCCCACCGTCCATGCTCCGCGTTGGACCCGGGGCATCTCCACGCGAATATGCTTCGCCCTCATGTCCAGTGTCGCGTTGCGCCATGCTGGGGCGTATCCCGGATTCCAGCTGGGACCCTTCGCCTCCTTCTCCACACATTGCCCCGCGCTATTGATATTTTTTTCTACCAGGCCTAGTACTTAAGCTACCACCCATTCTTCTCTCTCTCACTCCACTCTGTCTCTCTCGCTCGCTCCGCTCGAGGAGGAGGGAATCTGATCGAGAGAGCGGATAGAGGGAGAGGAGCGAGGAGCAATGGCAGCAACAGTAGCCAGCACCGGCGCTGCTTCTTCCTCTTCTTCTTCGTGTCCTTCTTCTTCGAATTCCTGTACTAGAGCTCTTCCCAGATCCACCATCGTGAGGATGAGGACGAGGGCGGTCGAGTGCTGCGCGGCCTCGAGCAAATCCGCCGCTGTTGGGTCGAGCGTGCGCTGCCCAATCTCAGCTCCGGTGCCGTCCCGATTCGTCCTTCCGCCGCAGATGATCCCAATTCCGGTGGTGATCGAGGTAACGTCTCGGAAGCTATGTCTTGTTCGTTGAGTTCCGTGCTTATGTCGGTGTGCGCGGTTTGTCGGTGGTGGCTCAGGTTGATCAAGACGAGGAGGACGAGCTCACTTTCCTGGATTACGACGACGACAATGAAGGGAAGAGGAAGTCTCCTTGGCTTACGTCTCAGTACTTGAGCTTGAGGCTGCGATGTTCCTCGTAAGTTTTCTCTCTCGGCAGGCTCTTGGATTGGAGCTCACAAACGAGTGCTCTGTCTAGGTTGATGATGAAGGAAGCGAAGGATGCTCTCAGTCGCCACTTCAAGGGACGAGAGCCGACCGTCTCCGTGAACTCCATGCTCAACACCACCGCTGACAAAGTCTCGAGTTCTTCCGCCGGTAGCAACAAGAAGGCAACCGACAAGGTAGGAGTTTTCGCGTTTGATCGATCTTTTCTCGTCAGTGCCCCTGACTGACTTGAATTGCTCGAAAAACTTTCCAGAACCGCCACCTCCAGCTGAATCTCATCAGCGAAAGCTACCACGGGGATACCGTTAAGTTCATCACGGATGTGGTTCTTTCCGACGAGCAGGGAGGTTACTTTGGAGACCGGGCCGTCAACTCCACCGTTGCTTGAGGATCGAGCTTGGGAAAAAGCGAGAATCTTCCTCTTCTTCATCCTCATCGAAAGGATAGAACACAATGGTGGAAGCGTTTTGCTAGGCCCTGCTTCTACACTCCCATCCTGATCTGATGAACACCGGAACTTGGATGATCTGTGCGAGGATGATCTGCTGCCTGGAAACTCTATTAAAAGCTTGGATCAAGAGAAAAATACGACTTTCGAGGATACATGATCGCGGCAGAGCACAGTTGGATCGTCGTCGTCTTGCTCCGGAAAAAAAGATAGAAAAGAGAATGCTTGGCTCGAGATGGCTGTAAAATAACAAGCGGAGGAGAAGAAACCAGAGAATAGAATACTCTCTCATATCACTCTCACTTGTTAGTGTGTGTCGAGTGATTGCCCACAATGTCAGGAATAATTCGAAGGCAATCACCAACAGGAATCCGGGATAACATCGAAAACGGTTGACAGTGCTGTTCTCGAGATCTCCGGATGAGAGAAGGGAAATGCAAAGACGAATGTTCAAAGTGGAAGTCCAATTGAGGAGTCCAGCTCCATCGCAGTTCATGGCCTGTCAGTGAAGATTCCATCCTCGTTGAGCACGGAACTGTTGCAAAACAGCCAAGAAGTTGGGAAAAGATAAGACAGAATCACGCCCATGCTCCACGGATGGATGGATCCATCCAGCTATTGTTTTAGCCAAAGCAAAGTATTTGATGGTTTGATCGCTAACCAGAAGCTCGACTACGGAGGTTCTTTCCACCACAAGAACTCGGTAGAAAAGTTGCAATGTAGCAAAAGCCAAAGGTTGTCGCTGGCACGAGATGCCTGGCGAATCGAGTAAAGTTCTGGCCCTGCACGTCTGCTCGAAAGCTCGCAAGAGACGAATAGCGGTGGCTATTCTTCTTCAAGAGATTCCCAAACTGTTTTGTTTGGTGTCCCGCTGAGCAACAGAGGGATCCGCGCTCTCGCCTGCTTGTTTGCGTGAGGCGGTTCTTTGTACATGATTCTGGCATCAAGTTGCCATTGATCGTGCAAAGTACTTCCAAGTGTGGTCCTTGTGAGCGAATGAAGGATGGAAACTCGTACAAGCCTCTCCACCATTGTTCTCGAGAGAGCATACATTAAGGAACGGTCAGACTTCCAGTATTTCTCCTCAGACTGCTGTCCTTCTGAATGTCGACAGCTTACCATTCTTCCTGCAACAGAGCTAACTTGAAAGCTCATCTATGAAAACTCAAAGGGAACGTGGATTTAAACTCACCAACAGTGCACACAACTCCAAAACACGTAGACTATCCCACACAAAAACCATGGAGCGTCAGTGCCGATTGCTCTTCAAGCTACCCAAGTGCCGCTAATTCTGGTGGTCGAATGCTGGCTTTATTGAGGAAGTGTTCAACGAAGTTCTATCCATAATTCGAAGGATAGATGCGAGTTGAGCTTAATTTCACGTCAGTCAATGAAAGCCATCGCAGTCTTTGACTCAATGGAAGTCAATAAATGTCAAAGAAGGTCTTCAAAAGACTGGATTGACTACTATTGACCTTGAGCTCAAATTAAGCATGACTAGCTGATATCTTTAACTATGGGTAGAGAGTGCATGGTTCAACTTTACCAGAACTTCTAACTCCATGATTGGAAACGTGGATCATTGCATTGTTTACAGGTCTGAAATCTTTGCGAGGCCAGGAAAGATGGAGATTTGGGGCATTGTGGAGGAAAGTATAAATACAAAGTCAGGAGGGCTACGAGTGATGTTGTGGCGATACTCTCTCTACTTTGGCCGCTAAGCTCCACCACGTGTCTTGCATACGACCCCTGCTGTCCGAAACAGAGTGTCAATCCCGGTGACTTTAATTACATTAACTTGGTGCATTTCATTCCTTAAACTAAGAATATTTCAGGTGTTACAGGCATGCCATCTGGAGGCGTCCCGCCTCACAAGCCAAGTTCTGACTTCCAAGGAGGTTCACAACTGTTTGTATTGCTGCTCATGAAAGCCCACCTATAAAACCAAGGGGGCAAATGCTGTCTATCAGACAAGAAATGGCTGTGGAGATCCTCTTCTTCTGCTGGTTCCTGATCGCAACCCGCGTTGATCAGGCTGCGGCACAGGCCACACCAGGCATCTACTTCAACAGCAGGAGAACCACCGCAGGGAGCCAGCTCCAAGCCAACATAGACTTCGTAGTCGGGTTCCTCGCAGATCACTCCTCCCAATGGCTACGCGACATGTCCCGGCTATGGCAAGACCCCGGACACCATCTACGCGAACACGGGCTGCTACAACCGGCCGGATCAACAAAGCTGCACCGTTTGCATCAACATCGCCTACTCAACGGCCCAAACCTCGGCTCCACTCACCATCGGTGCTGCTGTCTGGCTCAATGAAACCGCGCACCAGTACGCATGCAGCCTGACCTTCGAAGTATACAACTTCACGGACTCGTTGCTCGCTTCGCGTAAGTGCTTCCAAAGCTCTAAAGTTGTGGTTTCTCTCATCTTGGAAACTATGCCACTAGATATGCTCGGGGTCTTAGGTCCCAGCGGCGTAGTGTTTTTCGTCTTGAGATGGAGATGGAGGCCACGGAGAAAGGTCTCGGATTCGGAGAGCTCTGTCTATAACATGGGGAATCCAAGGCTGTTTACGTACAACGAGTTGTCTGTGGCCACGGATAGTTTCAGTGAGGAAAACCAGCTTGGTCAAGGTGGCTTTGGAGTTGTGTACAAGGTAATCTCGTCCAAAGGTGTCCACTCATAAGCGTTGATTGCCAGGCCAATCTCAAGGATGGGACGCAAGTGGCAGTGAAGAAGCTCTCGCTCCACTCCAAGCAGGGAAAGCAAGAGTTTGTCAACGAGCTCAACATTATCACAGGGATTCGCCACCGGAATCTTGCCATGCTCCACGGATATTGCGTCGAAGCCAATGAGAGGCTCTTGGTTTACGAGTTCCTGGAGAACGGCAGTCTCGACAGTGCGCTCTTCCGTTAAGTGTTTGTCTCCACTTTTATTAAGATCTTATTTTCTCCTCACAGAAAGTTCTTCGGCCTTGAATTGGCAGTCTCGGTTCCAGATCACGATCGGGATCGCTCGGGGCCTTGCTTACCTGCACGAGGAGTCACACTTTCAGATAATCCACAGGGACATCAAAGCCAGCAACGTTCTCCTCGACGCCAAGTTACAGCCAAAGATATCGGACTTTGGCCTCTCCAAGCTCTTCGATCTGGATGGAAAGCACGTCGTCTCAAAAGTGGCTGGAACATTGTAAGTTCTCTTCTAGTGGAAGATATGGTTGACAGATTTGCCTCGTTTTTGCAGCGGATATATGGCACCAGAATATGCGGTTCACAGGAGATTGTCACCGAAAGCCGACGTCTTCAGCTTTGGGGTTCCCGTCCTGGTGATCTTGAGCGGGAGGAAGTGCGTGGATCTGGCACGATCATCTGGCCAAGAACACATAGTGCAAATGGTGAGCATAAAAATAAATAAATCTTCTTACGGTTGGTTTCTCCAGACTTGGAAGCTCTGCGAGGCTGGAAAATTGGACGAGTGCGTTGACTGGAAGCTTGGCAGTGATTATGATCCCGACGAAGTCTACAGGATGGTTCACATTGCTCTGCTGTGCACTCAAGAGCGTGAAGAGCTCCGACCAGTAATGAGCGACGTTGTGACAATGCTACTGGGACGTCTTGACCTCCACCCTCTCCCTACTCATGCCCCCGGTACTTATCTTAAGACCAGGACCAGCTCCAGTACTGGTAATAGGTGTTCCATAGAAGTTTTCAGTGCTCGCTAGTCCGCTGTCTGTTTCGATTTACAAGTCGTTTGTAATTGCGTTACTGCAATAGAGAGTATAACTGACTCACCGTCAGAAGCCAAGAACATTAAGACACAGTCGCAAGTGTGTCAGGACTACAGAATATATGATCCTTATACGAGGAATTCCAATCCCTTTGCAGTAGGAAGGAGGCCATGAGTTGATAGATATTCTGCATTGTAGAACTTGCTTAGATGGCGTGAACCACTATCGCAAAGAATGGTGACGATGGTGTGGCCGGGACCAAGCAAGCGAGCAACCCGCACAGCGCCTACGCAGTTCATCGCCGAGGAGCTGCCGACGAAGATTCCATCCTCTCTCAATAAGAACCTGTTGCAGGAAAGGCAACCAAGCTCAAAAAGGAAGGCCAAAGAATACAAAACTGACCTCGACATCTCTACGGCTTCCTTGTCAGTGCCTCGGATGGCTCCATCAAGTTTAGCCAAAAGGAAATTTTTCGTCAGACGGTTAATGCCAATTCCCTCCGTTATGGTATCGAATGGATTTTTAAGTCTCTTTCCTTCTGCTTCTTCTCTAGCATACAGGACACCTCTTGAAACCCTGTTATAAAGTCCAGAACCAGGCGGGTCTATCAAGTAACACTTGACTTCTGGCCTTTGATCCTGCAAGAAGGAAAAAGAACTCTTTGACAAATGCAAAGCTTGGAGCTTGGAAATTACCTTGAGATAGCATGTAATGCCCGCGATTGTGCCACCGGTGCCAGATGCCGCTACAAAAGCATCAACTTTGCCTCCAGTTTGCTTCCATATTTCTGGCCCCGTTCCTTGGTAATGAGCCCGAAAGTTTGCCAGGTTCTCAAACTGGTCAGCAAAATATCCCCCTTGCGCTTCATCTTTGCTGTCGACGTTATGTGTACCATTTTTCGTTTGATTCTTGTCATTTTTATCGAAGGGGCAAACGATCATTCGCTCTTTGTACTTTGCTTCAGCTTCCTGTGCTCTTCGTCGTGCAATGTTTACGAAGTGGTCCTTATGCGTTATGGAAACCGGTCGAACTCTCTCCACAGTGGCACCTAGCGCTTCCAGAAGTTGAGCCTACAACGAATGCGTTTTGAGTCATACAAGTGAGAACGAATTCCAAAACCAACCTTTTCGATTGCTGCATCATCTGGAATCACTACATGGCACTTGCAACCACACGCCACGGCAACCATAGCCAGGCTAATGGCAGTGCTTCCAGCGCTTCCTTCGGTGACCACACCTCCAGGACGTAGCTTTCCGGATTGCAAAGCCTGCAAACACGAGAAAAACGAAAGAAGGAAAGTGACAAAGTAGAGAAAAAAATACAAACAGACCTCTTTGATGACTTTCACAGCTACTCGATCTTTGATACTTCCTCCAGGATTTAGAAACTCCGCTTTGGCATAAATCTGGCAACAAACACTGAGCGCTGCTCAAGGTCGGTAGAAAAACATTCACCTCGCAGCCTGTTGCCTCGGACAAACTCCGAATTCTCACCAGCGGCGTGTTCCCGACAGCTCCCAGAATCCCGTGCGCGTGTTGCCGATCGCAATGCGCCGCGCTCCACACGATCTGAGAGCTGCGCCGCCGCCGCCGCCGCCGACTGGAGCTCACAATCGCGATGGCGCCAATGACGAGAGCTCCTCCGGAGATCACCACCGCGATCGCGAGCTTCCTCATATTGACCTAAATATTTTCCCCCTCTGGTGGAATTTAACGGGCAAATGTACAAAGATCGCAGTAAAAAAGAGAATCTAATCTATGCCAGGTATTGGACGGCCTGGATTTCTTGGTTCCGTCGCTCTTGCCTGAGGCGCTTGGAGTACGATGGAAGATGTAATCTCTTCGTTCTCGTGGCTTGTTTCATAGTCTCGAAAGTCGGCATGCTGTCAAATCCTCCAGGAGGAGCCATGGATTTTCTGGAAAGATCACTCGAGCAATATAAGTTCTTGACCACTCTGGATTGAAAAGCTTACCGCGCAAGGACTGGGAGCTTGAACGGATCCTCGGGCTTTGGTATTTGTTCTCCTCCTTCACCACCAGCAGCAGTGGCATCAGGAGCTCCAGGAGCCTGTTGAAGATATGCCGAGAGAGATGAGTAAGTTATAGATTGGAACGCTCCGTTACCTGAGGAGGAACGATTTCGGCGGGAGGAGCAACGACGGACTTCTTCGGGGACAGAGTAACAGATTTTCTGGGAGCAGCGGCAGCGGCAGCAGCAGCATCGATTGTTGGAGCGGGGACAACCGGTGGTAAAGTCACTACAGTCGTCTGATCCTCGGGAGATTTTTCATCTCTGGGTGGCTGTTCCGGTGTTGGCTTCGTCACTGCTGGTTTCAGGATTGGCAGAGTCCTTGTGGCGATGCCGGGAGGATCAGCAGGCATGAAACTCTTGAATGTCATTTCTCGTTTAGTGTTTTCTTCCTCAGATAGCTGCTCCAAGTAACTAGAGATTAAGAAAATACTGTCAGAAATGAAACCAGATAAACGACTTTGGTACCTCAAACACAGCATTTCTCTTGGTGGAACAAGCGGACTTCCTTGCTTCACTAAAGGATCACCAGTGATGACATTGACCAGGTGATACTGATCCTCCACCCTACGTTGCAAATTAAGTACATCCTAGCGCTGCTTAGAAAGATATCACTTACTCTTTCATTTGCCTTTTGCCAGTCCGACCCGTCTCCTCCAAAAGGACTTGCAAGCCCTGACCCAAGTTGCCGTATACGCCTTCCCACTGATCTTGGCCATTTCTCTTTGCCACGATCTTTTCAAGCCTGCTTGGACAGCTTACATTACAAACAGAGACCATAGAAAAGATAGTCATACCCGCTGGGCCATCTCAGGCACTTCGCAAATCTCAAAAATCTGCAGAGGTAACAGAATAGCTCAGCAGAGTTATAATCAGAAGAAAGTATACATACGGCACACATCCTTCTCCCTCCTTATCCGCATAAGGAATCAATCTTCGAAACTCTTCGTCCGTGTAGTATACACCAAACTGCTCTAAACTAGTACGCAAATCCTCGTAACTAACCTGCAGAGACGAAACAATGAAATTAGTTCTAGAAAAAAAAAACAAAGTAAAAGAAAACACCCATGTAATACTAGTTATATCATACCCTGAGCATGAGGAAGAGCTGACCCTATCTGTACTGTTTGGATCAAAATGTTTGCACGCATCTGGAAGCTGGCCTGATTTCCAATACAACTGCACAATCGAAAAAAAGAATTTAGAAAAAAGAAGAATGTAAGAAGAGTTCGAATGCAAGACGTACTTTCTCCATCAATCTGTCGATTACAGGCTCTCCTCCGGATTGCCATAACCGTTTTCGAGGGGCTATCATTTTCCTCTTGAGCCTCTTGAACTCTGGAGCGTTTGTTTGTAAGTAAATAGTCATAATGTAAACTTTCTATAGGAAACTTACTTTGTTCGGCTGTCTCCTCAGGCTCAGTGGGATATAGCGGTTCCAATGGATTCGATCTGGGATTTCTGTCGAATCCAAATCTCTTCTTCCCGATATTGATGTCGAAAAGCTCAAGCCCCGTGCCAACCTTGCACCGAAATCGTCTATGAACATAAAGAATTCAGTCAGTAAAGAAACACGCAGAATAAACTTAAGCAGCTCACTCGCGAGTCCATTTTGCAGGATGAGACTTCTTATCAAACAATATGTCCTCGAGACGAACACGCACGGGGCCTTTGAAAAGAATCCTTGGTTTAGCACCAACAATGTCGCTCACATCCAGGAGATCGGTTACTCTGTTGGAAAATATCTGGAGAAACCACCACAGCCGAACGTAAGGAATAATCTAAGCAGAGGAGAAAAGCACCTGATCACCAGCTGGGAGGAGATTTGGACCCTCAGGAATTACGTAATCTGGATCCAAAGGATTGACGCAGCGATCAGTAATAAGTCGCCTCGATGGCCGCTTCTTCCTGTAAAGATCTTGCGGCAGCCATGTATCTGGAAACATTTTGCTGGCGTCCTGCATTCCAAAACCTGTGCTTCGTGAGTTTGGTGGATGAAATTTTCAATCGAAGTCTAAGAAGAAGATCTAGGAAATAATTTTTTCTTTCTTACTTCTGGATGTAGATACGTCCTGATGGTGGGAGCAAATCTAGCTCCTTCGATGTCGTCCGTGGTGAGCGAAAGAGGAATGCCCTTGGGCACCATGCACCGGTGGACATCCCCATGGTTGGCGTAGGGCGCCCAATCGATCGTCTCCGCCATCGCGCGCCTCCCTCTTCTTCGTCCTCTCCCCTTTTCTCACCTGTGTCTCCAAAATCCCCTCATCTTACTCGAGCTGTGAAGCTCCAGACCGCCCCAGGAATCTCCTCCCAACGCCAGGAATCAAGGCGAGGTGCTGCTGATCGCATTGTGCTCGCAAATTACCTCCGCATCATCCAAGATTTCGAGGGATCGGGCGCGCTTCCATCCTTCCACTGCTCTCTTGCTGTTCATTCCTCCAAGAGGTGCGCGGCCACGCTGCTGACGCGGCTAGGGCTTTGCAGCTGACGCGAGCCACTACAACGTCGCCCAGTGTACGGCCAGAAATGGGCGGGAGAGTTTTCAAAAGTTCAAAGCCCTAAGAACTAAACTGGTAATTAGGGCTAAGGTTTATGTTCTGCCCTATCCCACATGCCCTGGCGCACGCGAAGAGGGCCAACATATAAGAAGCTCCATGACGAAAGCTTTCACGACTGTACTTGAACAGGATCTGTTCTCTAGGTCGTACTTCAGTCCATACCGAGAGGTATAGACAAACCGATTTACCCGGACGATGAGACTGAGCCCACCGGCTTGAGCGCGACCGTACGGTGCTTGGTACTATTGTGCCATGCGGCCCATAGATGACCGTTCACTCCGAGCTTGCTCGGTTGTGAAGGCCGGGCGGGCAGTCTGACGGGTCCAAAACTTTTTTATCTTTAGATAATTACCTTTTCAGATATAACATGACGTAACTTCTTACAGATACATTACATCGTCTAACATTGATTTCTCGCTATAAGGTATATCAGCTATTCTCGCTTGGAACACCAAACGTTATTCTATTGGCGAGCTTTCTCAAGTTGGTCATCTTATATTTTTCCTTGGTCTTGCGAACCCTCCTCCCGCCGCGTTTCTTCTTTGATTCTCCAATCCGGGGAACTGGCAAGGGCGTGGCGGACTTTAGAAGTGGCCGCTCTTGCCACTTGTTGATCGTCTTAAGTATCTCCTCGCGTAGAGCTCTCCCAATCTCGCCACCTTTAGTGCTGTTGATCGTCGTGGTAGCATCCACACGAGCTGCTAATGCTGCCTTTGAACAAACGAGGCGACACGCCCTCTTTCGAAGCGGCGGTGGCGTGGACTGTACAATCTCACACTCGAAAACATGCCCCATCCCATTGTTCTTCACCGTCGCTGATGAGAATCCTAATAGATCGTCGATCTCCTCCCTGCCTAGAAGCTTTACGTTGCATGCCGGCATGCTAGCCAGCGACGCGAGCCCGCCAGCTTCTTCGACGAGCTTTGCGGTTATGGAGCTCCCCAGAATGGCTGACAAGTTTGGAGCGGCAGAGCTCGTCTCGCTCTCCAAGAACCCTAAAACCTCCTTTCTCGTCTCCGTGAGCTCGATAATCCTATCGCATGCATCGAGCACGCGCTGCAAATCAGATTCCTCCAGTGTTGGCATGTCCATTATCGAGAAGAGCATCGAAATCGCCAGCGCTGTTGGAGCTGGAAGATCTTCCAGACTAACTTCACTAAGATCCATCTTGTTCCCAATCTTTTTCACTAGCCGCGCATAATCCAATGGATCCCTCACCATTAACTCTAGTTCTTTGAACCTCCTCCCGTACATAGTTTTCACGAAATCATACAAGCTTTCAATCTCCTTCTCCATTCTGATTTGCCCTAAGTCACAATCCTTCAATTTATAGTACTACTACAAAAGGTAGATAAAACTAATTACAATCCTTTATTTTCATGTATTGTTTAATGAAAACCCCTAAAACCCTCGCATAGCTGCCACGTCATACGAAGATGGAGTGGCATTCCAGTTTCTAGGTTGAGGAGGAGCGCCCGCGATGGATCAGCGCCCCGCCAGTACGTCTTTCTCTCCCTTTCTCGCGTCGCAGTTCTTCCTCCTCTCGATCGAGCGCCATTTCCGAGCTGATCGCCAGGAGGATGAGAAATGACAGATCTTTCTTCTTTTTTCGTTTCCTCTTCGCGATCGAAGCTAACATCGTTCTTCTCCAGCGGCGCCGGCGTCATCGCTCTCGGAGATACGCTTTGGATTGCTGTCCCCGGCGGATATTGTGAGTTTCAAGCGCTTTGTTTTTTTTTCTCCCTCTGACTCTTCCTCTCCTCGTTGTGTTCCAGGTCAGTCTCTCCGTTCGCTCTATCAGCAAGCCTGCAGATGTTAGCGATCCCTGCCTCGGACTTCCTTGCATTCGTGGGAGCAAGTGTTTATCGTGTGGAGCGAATGAGCCAAAGGAATGCCCGGGTAGGCATTCTTTTCATGTTTTCTTTTCTCTGTTCTTTCTTTGTCTAACTGGATCCTTTTTCCAGGCCATTTTGGTCGCTTGGAGCTCGTAACCCCGGTCTACCACCCAGAGCATTTGCGAAAGCTTTGCAAGGTTCTGGGGATGGTTTGCTTGAAATGTGGCAAACCGAGGAAGAAGCCCGGGAGGAAAGAGGAAGAACTGGACGTAAAGGAAGAGAAAGACGAAGAGGATGAAGCGAAGCAACAAGAACAGACGGCAGCTGAGAAGGGAAAAGCTATAGTGAAACATAGCTCGTGTCCCGCTGAAGCGAAGCAACAAGAACAGACGGCAGCTGAGAAGGGAAAAGCTATAGTGAAACATAGCTCGTGTCCCGCGGGGATCAACGATCCAACTATTTCCTACTTCACCATATCCGATAGCGAGGACGAAGGGCTTTTCATTGTGGACATAATGGCTGAAGATGCCAAAAGGGTACTTTCAACTGACCTGCATTCCTTGTTCACTGTAACGTAACATCTTTACAGGCCCGCTGCGAGTTTTGTGATGGAAGCTACAAATATCCCAACGTTAGAGTCCTTTCAATGAAGTTCCAGAAGTATCGGATTGAAGGAATTCGTATGGAGTGTCCAGGCACGAAACCTCCTCCGAATGGGTACTGGAACTTTCTGGGAGGAGCTTTGAAGGGACGTCGGAAAGTGAAACTGACTCCCATTCAGGCAAGTTTGCTGTGATTATTTCTAGTCGTTTATGTTACTGTTATTATCTGTGGAAACTCTAGGCACTATCAATCCTGAAAAAGGTCCCAGCGAGGGTCTTACCCGGCGTAGATGTTGAGGCGTTCGTGCTGGAAATGCTTCCAGTTCCTCCAAACTGCATGCAGTCTTTACTAGACGTGAGTAGTTCCTCTATTCGTCTTTCTTGTGTTTGCAATTAACAAAGCAACAGCCGAGGACTGGAAACGTCTCATTTTCAAGCAGTGGAGCGATTCAGACACTGCGGAAGGTCGTGATGGAGAATGCAAAGTTCGTTGACAGCTCGCCGAAAGCTTTGAAGACAAAATGGAAGACTCTGCAACACCTCATCTCGCAGTATCTGCGCCTGAAAGGCTGCCCAAAGGTATTCCTCTTGTGTATTTTATCCGTTGACACTATTCGCTGATAAACATTGATCTATACAGATACGTAATAATCTCGAGCCTTTAACGAGGCCAGGAGTGACTGTGAAATGCGCCGAAATCTGGAAGAATAACGTGACTGACACTATCTTGTCGAAGATGACACAGTACTGTGCCATTGCGCTGCTCACTGGCGACGCTTACCTTGGTGTAGAGGAGATTCTCATCCCGGATGAGATATCTAGGCAGGTGACGCTGCCAGAACGAGTGACAGGTTTCAACGCTGACAAGCTTCAAGCAATTGTCAACGACTTACAGGTATGCTTAGCATGTTTGTATTGTTTTGGATTCGATTTTCGTAAGTACCAGGTCGGTTTCATCGAGCAAAACGGCGTCACTTGTGACCTGCGAGGCCAGTCCGCTGAGAGAAGGCAGTTGGAGATTGGAGCTGTCGTTCATCGCCCTGTGCGGGACGGGGATCTTGTTTTCGTGAGCAGGCACCCGGCGGTTTACAAACACTCAGTCATAGCGCTGATTGCAAGGATCCATCCCGGGAAGTCTTTCAGAATCAACCCTTTGGTGTGCTCTCCTCTCAAAGGAGACTTTGATGGAGACCGGCTGCACGTTTACTTCCCGCAGGCCGAGGATGCAAGAGTGGAGACGAAAGAGCTTATGGGACTGAAGCAGCAGTTTCAGGCGTTGTCAAGCGGAAATCCGGTGATAAGTTTGACGCAAGACATGCTAGTTGCAGCGTACATACTGGTTTCGAGGCACATCTTCTTTACAGCTCCACAAATGCAGCAGCTGGCTCTTCACGCTGATCGGTGGTCGCTACCAGATCCAGCGATTGTCAAGCCACTGGCGCTGTGGACAGGTTTCCAGGCATTTGGACTGTTACTGCCTTCGGAGTTGGCATTCTCCACGAGGACGGGAGTCTTGATTTCCGACGGGGAGCTTGTTACAGCCGGTGACGATGGTAGCTGGCTGGGAGGGGGAACCGACTCTTTGTTACGTGCTATCCACGAGAAGTTTGGTGTCGCAGAAGCAATAGGGTACCTTGATTCCTGTTGCTCGATGCTGAAAGAGTTCCTACATATCGAAGGCTTCAGCATTGGCTTGGGAGACTTCAACGTCAGCGACAGGCAGAGAGAAGCGATCTCGGAGCTTCTGGCGTATGCTAAAGAAAATTACGTGGAGGAGCAGGACTTCAGGGACGTTGAGCGGTGCCTAGAAGTTAAGATAAAGAACCAGACGAGGAGAGGGAACAGGCTGCATATGATGATGAAAGCAGGCAGCAAAGGGTCCGCGTCTTCGGCGAGAATTCACGTCGCCTGTTTAGGCGTCCAGGTTGTTCACGGTCGCTCGGAATTCATCGACAAGTCGTTTTGGAGTGGATTAGACCCGTCAGAGTTTTGGCAACACAGCGTGTGTACCCGAGCTACACTCTTGAAGTCATTGACGATGCACGACGCGGGGACGCTGGCATCGACCCTGATGAATCATCTGGAAGACGTGTATCTTGCCTACGATGGCACGGTTCGTCACCGACAGAGTGAGCAAGTCGTTCAACTGGTCTATGGCAATGAGTCGGCTCAACCGGGTGAAGCCGTAGGGGCCCTTGCAGCGAGCTTCATTACGGAGCAAGCTTACGACACTGCATACGAGGATTTCAAGGTATAGATTTTGGACATTCATGTCTAGCGACTGAACTTTTGAAATTTTATCACCAGAAAACGCTGCAGTCAAGTGTTAACGAGGACAAAGTTACGATTTTAAGACTGGAAAGGTGTGGCATCAACAACTGCCACTGTTTGGAGAGGAGATTGTTGGAGCTCAAGGAACAGCTACAACCAGTTCACTTGAAGGAGATCACGAAGGAGGTGAAACTTGAGTACGCACCGACCATCGTGACTTATTGGCTTTGCCATTTCTCTCTGGACCTGGTACTTTTTACTCTTTCTTTGAGCGTCTCTCGAAGTGCCGGTGTTTGGCAGGAGCGTGTCGAGGAGCTAAATTTGAATCTGGAATCCATTCGGCAGTTGATTCTAGGCCTCGATTTTTGCTGTGAAACTGTTCTGTCCTGTGGCAGTGAAGAAGCGTGCTTGCACGTTGCAGCAGCAGCTGACGGTGATGACATGGAAGACTCCTTGAACGTCTGGAACTACAAGCTCATACCGAAGCTCTTGGAGGTCTACGTTGCAGGTGATATGCCAAGTGTTTTGCTACCACGTTACAGATTTTTTGTGTTTTCAGGCAGCAAAGATGTTCAGTCCGTCACTGTCACTCGTGACGATCGTCAAGAGTTAGTTCTACAAGTGGCTGCCTCGTTTCAAACACTGGCAGGACTCGGCCTGGACACTGTAGATTGGCAGCGATCTTCTCCATTCACTGTTCGGGAAGTATACGATACGTTTGGTGTTGAGGCAGCTTGTCAGTTTATCTATGAGGTGAGCTGATTATATTTATTTTTCAATTGCTTGTCCTTAACGCTTAGCAATCATGTAGAGGCTGATGACCATCACGAGCTCGGATGTTAATCCCAGCCATGTTCGTCTTCTTGCGGATTATGCAACGCATACTGGAAATGTGCTTGGCTATACAAATTCAGGTTTTAAGGAATTTCTCAAGAGTACAGGCTCGTTGGCACCATTTCAACGTGTAAGCACAATTTATACTTGTTTTTCTTCGTCTCTAACACTTGGCGAACAGGTTGCGGTGAATGAACTTGAAGCCGCCGCACAAAATGGTCTCTGTGATCGTTTAAAAGGCGTGGTTTCGTCTACGGCTTGGGGAAAGCGTCCACCGATTGGAACATCCACCGACTTCAAACTTGTTTGGAAGGTAGGCAAGTTCGTCATCAAGCTCGTCATTTGACATTTGTTTTTGAAGATGGATGATCCGAGCTGGGTCAACGTAGACCTTTACAAGTTCCTTGAAGGAAATGTATGCAAGCAGCCGCTCACACCAGCCATTGCCGAAGGCCGTAAAATGCTAAACAGTGAATGGGAGTCGCAGCCGCAGGGAACAACAGAAACTAATGGCTGGGACGTGCCATCAACAACTGAGAACCTGGACAGTGGATGGGGATTGTTAACCACGACAGCGAACGTTGACAATGGCTGGGGATCGTCAACCGCGACAGCCGACGTTGACAATGGCTGGGGTTCTTCAACGACAACTGCTATTGGCGGAAGTGACTGGGGATCATCAGCGACTGACACTGTCAAGAATGCGACGTCGACTGTTAATGCCGACAATGGCTGGGAGGCACCAAATTCCGGTAACTCTCCTCATTATTGTTCTTCATAAAGTTTGAACAAACGCGTTTGCCTGAACTTAGGTGCGGATCAAGGCAATGGCTGGGAAACATCACGTTCAGGTAAATGTTTTCTCAATCTTTTAGAAAATTCAAACGAATCTACTTCTTCGAATTTAGGTGTGGATCAAGGCAATGGCTGGGGAGCATCAAGTTCAGGTAAACACCATTCATGGTTATTCATGTTAGAATATTGAACGAATGCATTCGTTTGAACTTCAGATGCGGAAGTTCAAATTGGCTGGGCGTCAATTCCCAGTACTGATCGTCCGGATGTAGCTGAAGGTCGCGAAGAAGTCTCCTGGAATACGGCCTTCAAGGATGACTCCAAGTTGGAAGAGCAGAGATCAAAAAGATCATTTGCTCCTCTTGGTTGCAGAAGGATTCCGAATCCCCATCTCTCAGGTTTCGTCTGATGCGTGATTTTGAGTTCAAATTATTTTTTCTTGTTTTCAGAGGTATGCAACGATGGCTGGTCGTCGGAACCTGCGAACAAGGATGAGGGAGGTGGTTGGGGACAAAGCTCAGGTACAACTTCCATGGTATCAAAGGAATATAGACTACAACTATGTTTTTGATTGTTTCAGAAGTGATCAATGGAAGTACCTGGGATTCAACCAGCTTTGACGCTCCTGCTCCTGCTGCTCAAGGTCGTGACAGCAGCGACTGGCTACGAAATGACGACCTGGAGCTGCAAGAAGAAAGACCCAAGCGTAAGTTTGCTCCTACAGGAGCAAACACGATTCCTCTTGGCAAAAGAAGAGTTTTTCCAAAACTTGGCGTTGACAGTGCTAAACAGGACTCAGGTTAGTTTTCTTATTCTTCTACACTTTCGACGGTTCCTCCAACATTTTTCTCCAGGCACCGATGCCAAAGATGTGGAAAATAACGAGGAAAAGAACGTAGACCACGGCTGGACAAACTCCGGTTAGTTTATTGCGTATATTGAAATAATATTGATGTTAAATTGACTTGGTTTTCGCGAAGGCTGGAGCCCTGTGAAGAACGACGACCAAGTAACGGTTGCAGCTGACATTCAAGTTGACGGCTGGGGAGAAGCTCCAAACTCAGGTCAGACTTCTATTCAAGATGACGGCTGGGCAGCAGCTCCAAACTCAGGTCAGCCTGCTCTTCAAGATGACGGCTGGGGAGCAGCTCCTAGCTCAAGTCAGTTTTCTACTCAAGATGACGGCTGGGGAGCAGCTCCTAACTCAGGTCAGCCTTCTATTCGTCTGATTTAGTCTTGTTCTTATGAAGCTGTTTGCGAAGGTGTGACGAGCAACGACGAAGAAGCCGCGCAAGCTCAGGGCTGGGGATGTAGTGCACCACAAGAAATCGAAGGTGCTCCAAAGACTAGCGCATTGCACGCCCGGGACCGTCCCCCTCCGGATCCCTTTAAAAGAAAGTTCTGGATGGAGGTGGTGGAGGTCGTGAATCAAGCCAGAATTGTGCTGAGAAGGTAAGGAAAAACTCTCAATTCATCCATGGTGTTCTTATCTGCTCGAGCGTTCTCTCCAGTTACCGAAACGGCGATCGACTTTCCGAGGAGCACGAGACGGCCATCATGGAGAAAATTCTCGTCCATCACCCCTCGTACGACCAGAAAGCTGGAGCTGGTATCGATTTCTTGAAGGTAGAGTGACTCTCTCCCTCTGGATTGTGTCTGAACTTTAGACGCTATGTCTCCTCTCAGGTCGATCGCCCAGCGAAATTCTCCGACTCGAGCTGCTTCTTCGTCGTCCGGAAAGACGGCAGCGAGGACGACTTCTCGTACCACAAGTGCCTGCGATCGCTGGTCGAGAAGAGCTTCCCAGAGAACTATCTCGCCAAGTATGACGCATCGTGCCTTCCCAAGGACTGGATCAAGAAAGTGGACGATTCAAGTGGAGACAATGCAAGTTAAGTTCTGAGACAATGCAAGTAAGTTTCGAGACAATGCAAGTTAAGTTCTATCTTTGCTATATCACCTCCTATAGAGAAACGCGAGATCTCTTTAGAAGTAGAGGAAGCACAGGATCATGACACCGCCGACGAACAAGAGCAGCCGGGAGAGCAGCGTTTCCTGCTGGTCCGGGCGGAGCGGCGGCGGCAGGGGCCTCAGGTGGTGGTGGTGGTGGTGGTGACTGGCCGGCGGCGGCGGCGGCGTGTGCAAGCTCCCATACGGCAGCATGGCCGGCCCGGGTGGCGGCGCGTCGGGGAAGCCATGGAACTGGAGCCGGAAGAGCGATGGAAATAATCCAAATCCCGCGGAGAAAGTCACGTTGCCGAATCGCGCCGACGCTCCCGGCCCCGCGGCAGCTCCAGCCACGAAACCAATGCCGTATGGATCGTAGAGGCGGCGGGCGTGGTGGTGCCAGGCCGCGAGGCTGGCCTGGTGGTGGGGGTCCGAGGAGGAGCCCGACCTCTGGCCGGGGGGCCGAGATGGGATCTCCATCTCGGGCACCGAGCTGGTGGCGGGGTCGCGGTGGTCGGAGGAGGACTCCACGCAGCCTCGGCCATAGAGGGGGATGACTTTGTCCTCGTGGACGGGGGCCTTGCAAACCGGGCACTCCTTGCAGATGGATCGCAGCTGCGTCCACTTGTAGAGGCAGGGCCAGCAGAAGAGGTGGCCGCAGAGGGTGACGACGGGATCTTGCGCGAGCTCCAGGCAGATGTTGCAGTCGAAGCTCCCGGCGGCTTGGTCGCGATCGTCGCCCTCGTCGTCCTCGTCGTCTCCATCGTCGCAATCGCGATCGCGGTCGAGGGTGGTGGAAGCTGTTTTGCTGCTGGCTGGAGGAGGAGGAGGAGGAGGAGGAGGAGGCTTGGTTCTTGATCCACCCGAGGTTCCCGGATGATCGTCGAGGCCTGGATGATCAGCTCTTACTTGGGCATTGCCTTGTGGATCTTCTTCTTCTTCTTCTTCTTCTTCCTCGCGATCGTGTTCCACTTCGTCGTCTCGAGCTCGTAGCTCCGCCTGGGACTCACCTGGCTTTGGGCGATCGCGAAGCTCTCCCGATCGATTGGAGGAAGAACTGGAATTGGACACCGCAGTGCTGCTGCCGCTCGCGTCCTCTGCTCCGGCGGGACTGTTCGTCATCCTCGCCCGCCGCCGCTACCATCGCTAGAGCTTCTCGTCCTCTTCCATCGCCACGGCATTCTATCCTTCTTCGTAGATTTTTTTTTCCTTTGCCCCTTCAGCACAAACAGACGCATTTGACTGGCACGTCAGCGCTTGACTTCGCGGCGGTTGACCGTGCAATACCGTTTATTTTGTCCAAATTATAGGCATTTCGAATATGCCCCTGGAGAGAGAGAAGGTAGCAATTAGGGTTCATGGTTCTCGCCCAGTGGCTCGCGATGGTGCTAGGTCGCGGGCCAGCGCCGAAGCGCCGATCGACCAGGTGATTCTGTGAAAGGTCGCGGCTTGGCAGGGCGATGGCGTCGGCGGGCTTCGTCCTGGGCTGGAAGGGGGACGAGGACGAGGAGGTGGATATTGGCGGGTCGGATGAGGAAGCGCCAGGGATCGAGAGCGCAGGCGCTATTATTCCAGCAGGGGTCGAGAGCGCAGCCGCGAGGAGGATTCCAGCCGAAGATTTTGAAGCTGAGAGGAACAAGAGCGCGCCGAGTCCGTCGATATTTCGGGGAAATGAAAGGGAGCTCCCGCTTCCTCCTGGCGGTAAGCAGCGTCTCGAGAATCGTGCTCTTAATGGCGCTCCAAAGCTTGGAATGGAAGCTCAGGATAGTCGAGGCTGCAAGAAGGAAGCTGGCGCTGCGAGGCGGGCAGAGAATGCTAATGGCACGGCTGCTTCGATCAAAGGCAAGGAGCCAGTGGTGGAAGAGGAAGACGAAACCATGGCATTTAAAAAGAGAAAGGTCGAATCTAGCAGCCTCCGGGATCTCAAACGCCGAAAAGACGGAGACTGGAGATCCAGCCAGTGGGTAGCTTGCGTGCTCTGCAAAAAGTGGCGAAGGTATGGCCAGAGTTTTATTTTTTTTTTCCATCTCTCTCGGCTGTACCAAACTTCTTGTCGGCAGGATTCCATTCGAGCTGACTGTGGAGAGGAGTACGTGGCACTGCAAGGAAAACGTCTGGAATTCCTCCATTGCAAGTTGCGAATGTCCACAGGTAGTTTGTTGTGCCTAAGATGTGATTAAATTCTATGATGTGCAGGAGGAGGCGAGCACCTTTGACAACATGCCTACGATGCGGGTAGATTTCCCAAACACATTATGCATATCGGATGGCGTTTTACGGAGAACCTCCACGCCTCTGGACAAGTCTGCTGCTCCTGTACCAGATGATATGACCGTCGCAAGCGAGACGATCATCGGCAGCGCTACTGATGCCACTGATAGAGCCGCCTCTCCTGCTGAAAACGGTGCCGCCGCTTTGGACGTTTCAAAGTCTGCTCTCAAGACGCTCACCCCTGAAGAAGGTGAAGCTGTAGCGAACCAAGATGTGAGCCCCTGTCAAGTCTGTGGTTTGGGGGGTCAAACCATGTAAGCTTGATAATTGATTTCTAATCTCGCCTCTAACTTTCAGTTCTTGCAGCTCCTGCTCTCTAACAGGATGCACGAGTAGATATCACTTTCACTGCTTGGTTCCTCCACTGACTTCTCGTCCTAGTGGAGGGTGGTATTGCAAGAATCACAAAGTTGAATCAATATGGCTCTCGAGTGCTGAATGCGGGGATGGTGGTCAGATGTACTACGTGAAGTGGAGAGGTCGTGCTCACCTTTATGATAGCGTGCTCAGTGAAGCCGTAGTAGCGAAGCTGGCATCGAAGAAGCTGACTCATCTAAAGAGGAATGGAAAGGTATTTGCTTGTTTTTTGGATGCTTCTAAAGTCTGACATGCAGCATTGCAGTTGCTAGAGTGGCAGCCGAGCTGGACAGTGCCAGAACGAGTCATAGGAATGCGACAAAATGATTCGCAAGAGATAGAATGGCTTGTGAAATGGACTCAACTCGGTTACGAACAATCCACATGGGAGTCTGCCTCTGCAAGATTTTTATTGGAGGAAAAAGGGCGGCTTTTGATCGATGTGTATGAGAAGTGGTGTGAAGTAGCGCGGCTGCGGGCTCGAGCTCCTCAGGCCGACAAGGTAACAATGTTTGCGTTCATACTAATGATAATATTTTCTCTTACAGGTTTCTGAAAAATGTGCGCGGCTTATAAAGCAACCTTCTTGGCTACAAAGTGTTTCTTTGCAAGACCATCAGCTGGAAATGCTAAACAATCTTCGCGATTGCTGGTGTAAGCAGAAAGGAGGCATTGTCTTAAGTAATCCAATCCAGGTACATGGGCTATTTGTGTCCCGGCGTGATTAACTCGTTTTGCAGGAAGAACCAGTTCCGGTTGTAGCCTTCTCAATCTCTTTGTGTCGGGAATTCAGAACAAAGGAGCCCATACTGGTGGTGACTTCTCCAGAGATGCTGCCGTTTTGGGAGAAGAAGCTTAAAGAGTGGACTCTTGATCTCAACGTAGTTATGTACTGTGGCACTCCTAATAGTAGGTACTTCATTCGACAGCATGAGTTCTCTCTGATCGAAGGCTGCGTCAAGCTACACATCGTGGTAACCACGTTGGATGTTGTGGGCTCGGTAAGCTTCCCCTTTTTATTTTTTAATAACCATTTTCATAATCAATGCAGGATGTGGATGTGGACTTTCTTAAAGGGTTTAAGTGGTCCTGTCTATTAATTCATGACTCTCGTCGAGCTCGGAGAAGTATATACAAAAATTTGGCGAAGGTGTCTTCCAGTTTTTGTTTGCTTTTCTGTCCAGAGCCTTGGAAGGTAGTGTGTGCGTTGTCTCATTGTGTATACTCATTATTTCTTATCGTTCTTTCAGTGGGATTCCGAAGAGCGTCAACTTATTGCGGAAGTTCTTGGAAAAGATAAAAGCGTTGACTGGAAGGAGCTTGTGGCCTGCCAGCACAATGCTGAACCTGTGAATGATCTAAGGGAATATTGGGTTCCGGCGCAAATGTCCCCTGTGCAGGTTCATCAGTATTGTTTGCTCATTGTAAAACACTTCGAGCTTCTGCGGTCTGGCAATATGTCTCAGGGGGATAATATTCTTCACGAACTTGTTTCTGTTCTTCGAGATGTAAGTTTTTTTATGTAATTATCTTCTGATAATATTCTTCTGTTTCTAGAGCAGTGTTGTAGTCATCCTTATTTGGTCTCGGAAACTTTGGTAAAATCTATCGGGGAGCTCGTTCCTAAGGGGGAGTGGCTTAATGCGGGGATAAGAGCGAGTGGCAAATTGGAGCTTATGCACAAGATGCTCTCGCACTTTTATCTGAACAAAAAGAAAACCCTTATCATTGTCCAGGTATCAAAAGTTCATCTGCTTGAGTATTGTTTCATAATTTATTTATTTTCTTTTTCAGAACACACGTTCCAAACAGCTCATGAACATTATTGATGATTATCTAAAGCAACAATTTGGCTCATATGGACGCATTGAGCGAGGAATGGATGCACAGGTTCGTCAGGCATCTCTCACAAGGTTCAACTCGCAGGACTCTAGCTGTTTTGCACTTCTTCTCGAGCGCGGTGCTGCTACATCTATTCCAAATCAGCTCACGGCCGTCGACGCGGTTTTTATCTACGACAGCGACTGGAACCCATGGAGTGACACAACGTGCATCCGAAAGCTTGGTCTCAACAACGTGACCGTGTATAGACTGTACAGCTGCCTCACTGTGGAGGAAAAGATTCTTGATGGAGCACGGGAGGATGTGGTGTCAATCGAACGCCAACTTAAGAATTTGAGCTTGAAAGCAATGCAAGAGATGCTTCGTTGGGGTGCGGCGGCTCTACTACAGATGGACGACTGGTGTACACAAAATGATGCAGTTACGGATCCAAGGAGAGGATGGAATGGTGCAACGGTCCCAAACGAGATTGGCAAACAACTGTTTTCTCTAGATGACGATGAAGTGAAGGCTGTTTCTCTTGGCAACCACGGAACACATCTCAGCGACAAAGCTCGAGCGATTTTGTCACACAGAGATGCGTCGTCCAAAGGAGTTCCTCTTTATGGTGTATCGTCCAAGGCTTGTGAAGACGGAAATTCGACGGCGGCGGATGAGTTCTGGTCCCCGCTTCTCAAGGGTAAACGCGAAAAGTCGCTCCAGTTACAGGGACAAAGAACGCGAAAGCCAGTTGAATATCGAGATTTTGAAGACATATCAAAGAGAAAGAAAAGGAAACTTACGTCACCAAGTTACCTAGCGGCCCACGGCGGTAAGATAAGTGTTTTGATGCTTGGGCTAGAATCGTACTCTTTTGTTGTTTATTACAGAGCTACGGCAAGTGGATGCTTCTGATACAGTCCGTCCGACTCCTGATGCTTCAACCCAGGTAGCAGCACCTCCAGTTTCGCAAAGTTCTGGAGGTCGTGTAACAACTTCGAGCAGCCAACGAGAGGAGCAGCTTGAGCGTCTCAGCAGTTTGCAGGGAGAGCTGATGTCCCTGGGCGAGTTCATAGAGTTACCAGTAAGCAGTGCTTGGGCTTTAACTGTTTGCAGTTGTCTCACTCGACTTTCTTTCGTAGGAGAATGTACTAAAGCGCGCGTTGGAATTGCTCACTTTCGTGGTAAAGAACCTGCGGATGAATAATAATTTCCGTCACGAGGTGGAGTTGTCCTTGGTATGTTCTATATTTAATATTCGTGTTTTTAGCTTCTGAAAGACTTATGCCTTCTTCTTGGCAGTGCTGGATTGCAGCAGAACAGATGGGCGTTGACTTCGACAAAGTGGTGGCGACTTTAGCGGCAACGAGCGAGGGGTTTAATGTGGACGAGCAGTCGCTGGAGGCTGTTCACAACAAGCTCAAGATAGCTTTGGGGGCCTTTCCTGCGTCTCGTTCACAAAACGGACAGTCTCCAACGGTAGCTGCCACGGAAAAAACCCAGCCAGCGGCTGTGTCACCACGGGCTTCTTTAGATTCTCCTCCCGGGGGATGTCGTGTATCGGTAGAAAAAAGGGACCTGTTGGAAGAAAAAAAGCAGGAACTGAAGACGAGGAGGAAAGCCCAGACTCAAAAGCTCCTGAACTCTCAAAAGCGAGTGTGGTGCGAGCTTATGGAGAACGAAACCAAGCAAAAGGTCCACCTTGAGAAGGTTTACGAAGCTGAATGCAGAACTATTCAAGCGTTGGGGACGGCTGAGAGTAGCCGGCTGCTAGCAGAGAAAGCCGAGGAACACAAGTTACGGGTGAAAGAACTTCAGACGCGGCTAGATAAGGAGAGAAGGGAATTGGGAGAGAGACAAACGTTCACGAGGAACAGGATGGGCGCGTTCTTTGCTGATCGGCTAAAGCAGCTGGACAACGGTGTTATGCCAATTGATACTACTCCGGCAACCGACAATACCGCTGAATTGCGGGAATGTCAACCTGAAAGTTCCGCCAACTTTAGCCACAAGGAACAGCAACTTCCGCGAGAAAGCGATGATCTCGGGCGTGGAAATTCTCGTGGTGTCCGTCAACAGCAATCTCCATGTGAGCAGCAAGCAGATCCTCCCATGATCCAGAGTGAAGACACTCCTGCTCGACCGCGAGTTTCTTCCGTTTCTATGACCACTGCGGAAGCCTCGCATCCTGTGCTTCCTGAAGCCCCCGTTCCAGCTCCTGAAATTGGTTCTAGCACAAGAGAAGAAGTCTCCGTTCCTGCTATCAGAAGTAAAGTAACTCAAGTTTATGCGAGCAGAAGCGAAGAAGTTCCAGTTCCGAACGTTCCTGCGAGCAGAAGACAAGAAGTTCAGCCTCCAAGCATTCCAGCGAGCAGGACAACTTCCATTGCTGCGAGCCGAAGAGAGGTAGTTCCGCTTACACGGGACGCTGCTATTGCTGCGAGCGGAAGAGAAGAAGTTCCAGTTACACGGGATGTTTCTATTGCTGCGAGCGGAAGAGCAGAAGCTCCGGCTGTTCCGGCTCCTGCGAGCAGAAGGGAAGAAGCCCCTCTTCCTGCGAGAACAGTAGAGGAAGTTCCACTTGCAAGTGACGTCGTCCCACCGCCAGCCAGCAGAAGCCAAGTCCCACCCGAGATCCCAGCGAGTAGAAGCCAGCAAGGACCAGCGACCGGGAGCCGAGCCGCAGTCGTTATTGCGTTACCAGCCAGCAGAGGCCAGGAAGAATTTCCACGTACTACTAGTGGTCGGGCCAACGAAATCTTTGCAGGGAACAGAAGTCAAGTTGTCGTTGCGCTTCCTGCAACGGGTCAGATTCATGCTGAAGCTCCTCTTCCTCTTGGCCAGAGTCCGCGGGTTCCACAGCAGCCGGTTTCCAACTTTGTGCCGCCAGCGCGCCTGTCTTCGCACTACGATCCACTGTCGCTGGAGGAGACGAGGCTGCAGAAAGAGATGGAGAAGATCAAGAAGGCGCGCGACGACGAGGTTGGTTTCATCAGCCTTTCTTTGCTCAACTTCCTCGTATTTGAGTTCAGGTGGCAAGGCTTTCGAAAGAACTGGAGGCGTTGAAACGGAAGCTCGAGGACGAGTGCAAAGCGTTCGCCCAGAAGGCGGAAGCGTTACAAGGCAACCTTGCAGCGGTGGCTGCCCAACGCCGCTTATCCGAGGCGCTAAGGCTGAAAGACAGCGTGCGCCTCAAAGGTACTATTTCATTTCTCCCTGTTTCTTTACAGCCATGCGTGGTTTCTCAGGATCTCCCGGACCGCCAGCTCCGGCAAGCGTGTGGCACAACTCCGTCATGGACTTCGCCGCCATCGCGGGCGCCAACTCGCGGCCGCAAGCTCTGGCCGGCTCCTCCTCTCCAATGGCCGCGATCTACAACACGCAGCATGGGATACTCAGAGTCCCAGGGCAGCACTTTGGCCAGCAGCAGCATCCTCAGCAGGTGATGGTCTTCCCGCCGCCATCGCCAACCAACGCGACACGAGCTCCAGATCTCCTCCGGCCAATCTCTCCCAGCTTCGCCACCCCATCAACGCAGCAGACGCATCACCATACGAGGCTCCAGTTCGTGCCAGTCTCAGCTTCTACGATGATGATGACGAGTCCAGCAGTAGCACCGCCTTCTCCCACGGTGGTGGCCACGACTCAAGAGCTCATGAACGCCCGCGTCAGCTCGCAGGTAATGTACAGGAACATAAGCGAGAACCTGCGGCTGTCCTGGTTGAACCAGGCTCACACAGGGACAGGCGGCGGCGGCGGTAGCTTTAGTAACACAGGAGTAGTACCAGCTGCCGCGGCCACTGACGTAGCTGTGGATCACGCGGCTCAAGCTAGCGCCAGTTCTGTAGCACGAGTTCTAGCCGGAGGCAACGCATTTATCGCCCAGCACCCTCTGGACTCCCGGGTGAGCTTGGGACACGCTGACTACATCTGCTTATCAGACGAGGAGTAGGGAAAGAGAAAACTGTTCGAGTGACTTACTAGGAGAACACAAGGGGACATAGGAAAACGAACAAACGCTGTTCGCAATTTTGGCTTTTACACTTCTGGAAGATCTCTGAAAGAAGCACGAGAGCGAGGTTTAGAGAAGATGTGATAATAGTAGTAGTAAAAGAAGCTACGAACCTTTTCACTAGCTGTCAGTCTCCAGTGATCATGGCGTCTGCGTCCCTGTTTGCTGCAGCCATGGCTTCTACGTCGACAAACTCGGTTGGATCTTGCTGTGCTACTCCTGCTGCTGATGATGGCGGCGATGAGCCATGCTGACTCCAAGCTGCCTGTTCTTGCGGTGTTTGTTCTTGTTGTCCGGCTTGGACAACGCCTTGCTGGTTCCAGGAAGCGTGAGCGTGAGCTTCCCACGGCGCTGGAATGGGACGAGTTGCCGGAGGGAGGAGCTCCATGTACGAAGGCATTGCTGGATCGGCCGCTAGAGAGCCACTGCCGTTGAGAACTCTGGGACTGGACAGGGAGCCGCTCTTGCTGTACACGAGCTCCGTCCTGCCGGCAGAGTAGATGGCGGACGTCGTAGTTTCCGGGAGTCTCAGCTCGATTCCAAAGCCGCCGCCGCCGCTACCGTTTCCACCACCGCTGCCTCCGCCATCTTGCTCCATCCCGCCAGGCGAGCCGTTTTCGTAGCACCCCGGTGGCAGCTCGCCAACGCCGACGCCGCCACCTTCAAATGCGTCCTTTTTCTGCCTCTTCCACCGCTTGGTCGACGAAGTACCGTCGTCCTCAAAGTCCTCTTCGCTCCTCTCCGTGTGGAGGTAGAGCCAGAGCTTCCTCTCGCCGTCGTAGCGTACGCACGGATCTCTCTCGTAGTGAAGCCTGTCCAAGGCACCACTCACCACCTGGTGAACTTGAGCCTCGGAAACGTCCTCGACAACGAACTGTGAGTCCCGGATCAATGCACACACGTCCGCCCGTGTCCCCACGCCACCAGGAAGCCGAGCAGCAGCGTCCCTCACCAGGCACAGAATCGTGACGTGCGGAGGCCGGTCCGGCTTGAGCATGGAATGGTCCCTGGCTTTGGAGTTCGGCTTTCCCCCGCCTCTTCTCAAAGGAGCCACCACCGACTTTTGCCCGTCCGAGCGCGTGTAAGCAAACGCCCGGTCTGGTACCGAGTAGCGAAGTATTTCCTCCTTCCGGAAGTAGGACCTCATGTCTTCCGAGCTCGGCGCGATGGTTATCAGACTCTTCTGCGCTCGCATGTCCCTGAATCTCTCCCTCTCGTCCACGGCCGCCGAGGCAACCGGAGGCGGCGGAAGTTGCAACTGGACCATTTGCTGCCGAGTTTCTTCGCCGTGCTTGTACCACGTCGCAAACGCTTCTTCCAGCTTCGAAAGGATCTTGGACGGTACACCCCAGTCGTCCGCCAGCATGTTGCCAGACTCGTCCACAGATCCCTGGGGGCCGATCCAGTACCAAGACTTCGACTCCTTCTCGTAAGTCGTGAGCGGCTTCCACCCCTTGGCTCCGGCAGGAGCAATCTTGGATGATAGGACTTTCAATGCTCCCCACGCTAAGTCTTGCAGTGGCTCCTGAGCCTGGAGGACTTTTCGATCCCCTGGATTTTCCTGCACTCTGCTGACAACCTCCGAGAAGGGAACGCAGAAAAAACCAGCTTTTGCTGCGCCATCGTCACTGCCGTTGTCATCAGTCGGACTCGACGGGCCACTGCTGGCATTCTTTGATAACGCTGCGTCAACGTTGGGGCCACTGTCCTTGGCCGGCGTCAGCAAAGCTCGCCTCAGAGCCGACAGGAACAAGATGATCGAAAATGGGAAGGTGACTCCCAGTTTCTTGATAACCTTCGACGGTGGTGGAGATTCCGAAACCTCTTTCTCAGCCGCCACCTTTTTCTTCGTCTTCTTCTTCTGCTCTGCCTCCTCGTTCCCTGGCTCGGCCTTCGCCACTCCAACGTCCACAAGAGCTTGCATTCTCTGCTTTCCCACACTGGAAGCCTTCTTGTCACTATCTTCCGAGCTCGTCATACTCTCATCCTCCCTGGTCCGCTTGGCCACCGAAGCCCTCTCCACATTCGACTTCCTCTTCTTCTCGCCACTCGTCAGCGAGGAGCTTGTATTCCCGCCACCACCACCACTGTCATTTCCAAAGGCCTCCGGATCATCCGAGACTGGAGACGCCGCGTTCTCAGCCTTCCCAGGAACAGACTTCTTCACAACACCACCTTTGGAGGCAGCTCTCCCAGCCTTTGCTAAGCCCGGCTTAGCTACAGCTCCCTTCGCTACCATCCTCGTGTTCCCATGCACGGCTTCAGCCACTGGCTCGGCAGCCTTGCTCTTCAACGCATCCTTCACTGTCTCGGGCATCTTCGCCTTCTGGACAGCCTTGAAAGTCTTCTCAGCCACCTTTGGGAGCTGCGGCTTCACCTTGGTGTCCTTCCACTTCCTCCAAATCTCTAGCCTCCCCTCGATCTCCACGTCCGGATACTCCTCCCACAGCTTTTGCATCTCCACGAACGAGCTCACCATGGAATTGTGGTACTTTCTCAGCAGCTGGTAGTGCTCTTTCCTCTGGAGACACTTAATCCCGTCCGAGTACTGCACCACATTGGGCTGGCAATGTCCTCCTTTCAAGCTCTCGAACAACTGGGCCATTGGATTCCCGAAGAAGATATTGCTAGTGCCCGAGAGAAGCTCCTTGAGCGTCGTCGCAAATGCCTCCTGGTCGATCTCCGGGGGCATGAAAGCCATGAGCTGCTCCCTCTCCTCCTCGGACAAGTAGAAATTCCAAGTCTCCAGGGACAAAATGTTCTTCAAGTCGGGAAGATCAAACAGCTCGAATGGGAAGCTGGCGATGGATTCCCCGACCTGGCAAGTCTCCATACCCTTGTCCGAGAGCTCCGATTCCGTAGAAACCTCCGAATCCTCGAGCTTCACCGCCAGCATTCTCCGGGGCGCAGCGGCGCCGGCATCGCTCGACGATCTAGCACCGCCAGCCCTGTGATTGTTGGCGAGAATCGCCATTTTCTCTACATCTACCTGAGCTCCACTCGCCTCCTCGATTTCTCCACTGGAGCCCTAGCTCCTAACGAACCGGGTTAGGGCTTGAGCGCCCAAAGGAATGATGACGTGGCGCTCGCCAGGCCGTTGGATAGGCCACTCCTTCTCCCTCCTCCCGGAAAGATCTTCCGCGAATGGTGCAAGCCTTCTTCCTCCTCCCGGATGATTAGAACAGAGTCCAAGAGAAAGAGGAAGCTCGCCAGCGGCGCTGCCAGCAATCTCGAGTGGATTCTCGCCGCAAACGCCAATCGACAGCCCGATCTCGACACCGCTAGCTGCGCCGACCTCATCGCGGCCTGTGGAGCGGCCAGAGATCTCAATCGCGGCAAGCGCATCCGCGATTCCATCATCCAGAGGAGCCCAGCGCTGCGAGAATGCGCCTACCTCTCTACCCGCCTGATCGAGATGTTTGGGCAGTGCGAGAGCGTGGAGGACGCGCGCAGAGCTTTCGACTCCATGGCTGGCCGGGACAAATACTCGTGGAACGCGCTCCTCCAGGCATATGCCCGGAATGGGCATCTGGAGAGCGCCAAGAATCTCTTCGACCGGATGCCACACAGGGATATTTACACGTGGACGGCGATGATGAACGCATCCGCGCAATCCGGACAGCTTCAGCTATCCACATTTCTTTTCAACCAGATGCCGTCCAGGGACATCGTTCCATGGACGGTGTTTATCACTGCACTTGCCAAGACCTGGGATATTCCTCGAGCTGGGGAATTACACCAAAAGATGCCCCAATGGAGCATTTTCTCTTCCACAGCGCTAATCTCTGCATACACGGAGAAGGGTTACGTTTCCCAAGCTAGAGAAATTTTTGATACTATGCCATACAAGACCGTCGTAACATGGAACGCTATGGTAACAGCCTATGCCGCAAACGGGCATATTGTTGACGCTAAGTGGGTGTTTGACAGTGCCACGGAGAGGAACGTAGTGACGTGGACTGTCCTCGTGGCGGGACTTGCCGAGTTTGGCCATGCTGACGAGGCTGCCCGGATGCTGGAAAAAATGCCACGTAGAGACACCGTGACTTGGAATGCCGTGATGGCAGCATTTGCCCGCCAAGGGCATTTAGATGAAGCACAGAAACTATTTGAAAAGATACCCGAGAAGAACACTGCGTCTTACAATGAGGTTCTGGCAGCATTGATCGAGCAAAACCGGATGGACGAGGCGAAGAGATTGCTCGAGAGGATCCCAGATCCAGACGTGATCTCATGGACGACGCTGCTAGCAGGATTTGCCCGGTTGGGGCATCTGGGCGAAGCTCAAGCTCTCTTCGATCGGATGCCGCTACAAAACGTGGTTTCGTGGACTACCATGGTCGCGGCCTATGCCAGAAACGATCGCGCAAGCGACGCAGTGGAGATCTTCCAGTCTATGGATCTGGAAGGGATCAAACACGACGAGGTAACGTTCTTGGACATCCTCACGGCGTGCGCGCATCTCGGCCTCGTCGATCATACCCGGTTCTTCTTCCTGTCAATGTGCCAGAACCGAGGCATCGATCCGCTGCTCCACCACTACCTCTGCGTTGTGGACGCTCTCTCTCGCGCCGGGAGGCTGGGAGAGGCCGAGGAGCTTCTCTGGAGCATGCCTTTCGAGCCCGAGACCGAGGCGTGGACAACACTGCTGGGAGCTTGCCGGATCCACGGCGACGCCAATTGTGGAGCTCGGATCGGGCTTCTGATCCTCGAGCTCAATCGCGATCGAGAAGCCCATCGAGGAGCACCTTACATGCTCCTGTTTGGAATCCATGCCGAGGGAACGTAACCCGGATCATCAAAAGGTGGCGGTCTTGGTTCCTCCATAGATGTTGGAGAGAAGAACATAGCTTGGAGCACAGCCAGGATCCAGCGCCAGTATGATTGTCTCAATCCTTGCCGCGCGCTTGGAGTCCCGGTGGATCTTGCAACCCGCTAGGAGCGTCGTCCAGGTGATGATCTGGGGGACGAAGGGCATGGAGTTGACGAGCTCCTCAGCAGCGTCCATTCTCCCAGCACGCCCAAGAACGTCGATCACGCAGTGGTAGTGCTCCAGGATTGGGGTCACGCCGCGGTCCAGGATCATCCACAGGAACTGCTGGACGCTCTCCTTGACGAGCCCCGTGTGGCTATGCGCCGTGAGGACGCTCACGTATGTGATCTCGTTGGGCCGCGACGATCCATCCTGCTCCATGACCTTGAAGAGATCGAGAGCTGCAAGGAACTCGCCGCTCTGGACGTATGCCGCCAGCATCGCGTTCCAGGAGATAACGTTACGATCGGGCATGGAATCGAAGAGCTTCCGAGCTTGCAGCAAATGCCCCTTTTGAGCATACGCTGCAAAGATCACGGTCCAGGAGACCACATTGCGATCTCGCATTGTATCAAAGAGGTTCTTAGCCTGTTCCAAGTTTTGGGTGTTGACATAGAGCTGGATCATGGAATTCACAGCTTGGAGGTCCTGTTCCGGCATTTCAAGAAAGAGGTTTTGTGCTTGTAGACAATGCCCACACTGGGCAAATGCGGTGACCATAATTGTCCAAGCTATCACAGTTCTTCCCGGCATGGCATCGAAAATTCGCTTAGACTCCTCTACTCTCCTGTGCTGCGCATGGATCTGGAGGAGCGCCGTCCAGGAGATCGAATTCCTCTCGCCCATGATCTCAAACAGCGCTCGCGCCTCGCCAAGATGCCCATTTTGGGCAAATCCCACCATCATCGTCGTCCACGACGCCCCATCCTGATAAGGCATTCGCTCAAACACCGCCACAGCCTCTAGGGTTCTTCCAGTGCCCATGAATGCCGCGCACAGCGCGTTCCACGACACGAGATTCCGGCGCTCCATGCTCGCGAAGAGGCGGCGCGATTCCCCCAGGCGGCCTCGCTGGGCATTGGCCGTGATGAGCGAGTTCCACGACACCAGATCCCTGTCGGGCGAGCTCTCCAGCATCTCGTGCGCGCGATCGAGGTCGCCGTTGATCGCGTAGGCGTGCGTGATGATGTTCCAGGAGAATCGATTGGGCGGCGCGATGCCGTCGAACACCATGCGCGCCTCGTCCACGCTGCCGCACCGGCTGTACATCTCGATGAGGAGATTCGCGAGGTAGCGATTGGCGTGGTGCTCGCCCTGCCGGATCCGTGCGTGGAGCTTCCGCCCCTCGGCGATGTCCTTGGCCCTGCCGCAGATCTTGACAAGCTCCGCCAGGGACTGCACGATTCTCCCCATTGCTCGCCATGCTCCCCAAGAACACCAAACGAATCTGGGCCGTCTATTCTCAAGAACACCGCGAATCCGAGCCGTCCATTTTGAAAGGAAGGGGCCGAGCACCATGGAAAAAGCCCTAGAAGCGGGAGACTAGCTCACGGCCGGCATGGAGGTAACGCGTCGTATTCTCGTTCTTTGCAGGGTGAGGGTGATCTCCCACTATTCCAGCACAGTGCTTCCAGGATTCCATGATCGATCTTCTTTCTTCTCATCCGCCATGACGGTCGTCAGGAGCAAATCCTTCGGCGGCTTTGCCTGCAAGGAGACTAAGGTCGAAATCCCGGATCAGCAGCAGGATGACGAGCTCTCGCGGCTGATTTCTCCTTCGGAATCCTTCTCCTTCGGCCACCAGCAACAGAGGCGGCGGAGGAGTCCGAGCAGCGAATTCTCGGGCCAGATCCAGTCGCAGCATTCGTTCCGCGAGGATGTCTCTCACGCAGCATCCGAGACATATCTTCTTACCAGGCTCACGTTCAAGCTCTTGAGATACTTGGGGTAAAGTATAGCGTTTTCATTGGTTTTTCTTCTTCCTCTTCATCTTTTCTAACTTCTAGATTCCAGGATTGGCTATCGATGGATGGTGAAATTCATTGCCTTGAGCCTGTACGCTACCTTTCTTATGCCAGGATTTATTCAAGGTAGCTCATTCAATCTTTCTTCTTCATTTTTTTTTCTCTGCGCTAAAATCTGGCTTTTCTTTGAGTTTTTTTATAGTTTCTTGGTACTATTACTTCTCAAAGCGAGTACATAGAAGCATCGTGTATGGTGATCAGCCGAGAAACAGGTGAGAGTTTCAGTTCTCGTTTTTCCTTGATTATAGCATTTTGGTTGTAGATTGGACCTTTACTTACCAGAGAAAACTGACGGATCTAAGCCTGCAGTGGCTTTCGTTACTGGTGGCGCGTGGATTATCGGGTTGGCCTTCACCCCTTTTCTTACACGTGGAGCTGATAACTTTTACAGATACAAAGCGTGGGGAGCTCTTCTGGGTCGTCAGCTTGTCGACAGAGGGGTAATTGTTGCGTGTATAGATTACAGGTCAATCTTCTATGGTTTAAATTAAAACATAAAAAAACAAGTTCTGATTCTTGTTGTTTGATTGAACAGGAACTTTCCTCAAGGTGGGATAAGTGACATGGTTGCCGATGTATCAACGGCACTTTCGTTTTTCTGCAATAACATTTCGAGCTATGGTGGGAATGTAGACAGGTAATTTGCTCCCTATCCATATGCATAATAGTCTAATATTTTTTTTTCTGCGTGGCATAGGCTGTATCTAGCTGGTCAATCTGCTGGCGCACACATTGCTTCCTGCGCTCTCGTCAACCAGGCTAGGAAAGAGGCCATCCACGGAAAATGCAATCTTTTGTGGAGTGCCACCCAGTTCAAGGCCTTCTTTGGCATATCTGGAGGATACAATCTTTTCAAGCTTGTAGATCACTTTCATAATCGAGGCCTGTACAGATCGCTCTTTCTGAGGTAAGTGCTTTCCGCTTTCTTCACTTCAAAGTTAAATCTCTGATGCCTTGGTTTTTAATCCAGTGTAATGGAAGGGGAAGGATCGTTAGCACAGCATTCTCCGGAAATAGTTGTTAGCAGCAGAGAATTTCAGCCGGCCGTGCCTTTGCTACCGACCATGGTTTTGTGCCATGGGACGGCCGACTACTCAATTCCTCACAGCTCGAGGTACGCATTGCTCCTTACTGGAGAAAAACTCACTTTTATTTTTTATTTTTTTCCTTTCTGCTGGATTGCAGTGTTAGCTTTGCCGAGGCACTAGGACGTGTAAATGCGAATGTGGTCACTAATTTTTACAAGGACAAGACCCACACCGACATCATCATACAGGTAGGCCTCTCTTTCGATTGTTTCCCGATGGCACGAAGCGATTACCGAATGCATTCCAGGACCCAATGCGTGGGGGCAAAGATGAGCTTCTTTACGACATACTCGAGGTGATATACCGAGACAACGAGGCCGAGGTTGATCGAGGGCGGCTGGATAGACGGATGCTGCCAGAGATTTTGCTCAAGCTCGCGAGGAAGGTGAGTCCCTTCTAGCAGCACCTCCGTGATACATATGTACAATATACGAGTGTATCTATCAAAGAAATCAATAGAGATGTTTGGTTTTCCTGGCGTCAAAGTGGCCCCCAAGCACTAGAAGTGAGGTAGATGCTCGCAGAATCTAGCACCACACGCATTCGTGAAAAAGAAGGAAGACGAAGGGTATGATGATTATAGCGGCGTTGTGGGGGTGTTTTTCGATGACTATATGGGGTTTTTGGAACGACAGATACGTGACGAATGGTGATGAAAGCTGGTCTTGACAATAACTCTGTCAATTGGCCACTAGAGGCTTAGACACAATCAAGGAAAAAGGTGGAAGAAAAAAGTCACGCAGGACTTTTATGTATAAGTCGCCGCTGCTACATGAAACCTCTCTCCACTTCCATTTTGCGTGTGTTTCTTGACAACACATTCCATTGTGCCAACTTGAGGAGTTTCCAAGTCTCTCCTAGAAAGGCTTTCTGGAGCTATGGTAAACAACGGCACAGCTGACGGGAGCAAAGCGTCACGTTTGGATGGATTTGCCTATAAATTGCGGCGACAAGGCGATCCGGATCATCATCCAGCCAAGCCAGCCTTCTCTAGTCGAGCAAAGCAAAACGAGCCAAGCCGAGAAGGAAATGGCCGCGTTTCACAAGCTCGCGATTCTTGTTCTTCTTGCTTCTCTTGGCGCCACTGCCGATGCGAGGAAATGGAGTCCCAAGAAGCCACCGGCGGTTCCCCCGATGGTCTTTGGCACCATCTTCTGCGACCGATGCATGGACAAGACCTTCTCGTTCGCAACCATCGCCATTCCAAGTAAGTTATCTAGTGTGTTCTTCCAAGAAGTTCGGAACTAGATTTGCTCTAACGCTCTTGCTTGATCACAAAGACGTGACCGCGATCATCCAGTGCGGTGACTTCCAGGCATCCAACACCACCTCCGAGTTTGGCGTCTTCGCCATCGCCATCCCGGCGGAGGTGGCCAGCTCCCCGGCGAAGCTGGCGTCTTGCTCTGTCAAGGTGGCCAGCGATTTCTCCAGAGTCGAGGGCGATCTCGGCACTTGCAACACTCCCGTCAAGTTCCAGTTCCAGCCTTGGAGCCCGCCATCGCCACCATCGATGCCCGCATTTCAGTCGTCGCTCAAAATTGCCCGTCCATGGCCCTTCTACAGCGCTGGGCCTTTCTTCTTCCAGCCGCCGGAACCTCTTCCATCCTGCAACGAGAATCCTTTCCGCCATCCAAAACCAGCAGTAGCCGATGATCAGGGCTCGAGCGCGGCTCCCCCTCCACACCCTGCTTTTCCAGGATTTGGAAACTTCCCACCATTCTTTCCTGGAGCCATTCCTCCGACTGCCAACAAAGTCGCTCCTCCTCCACACCCTGCGTTCCCAGGATTTGGAAGCTTTCCACCGTTCTTTCCTGGAGCGTTTCCTCCAGTAGATCACTCGACTGCCAGCAAAGTAGCTCCTCCTCCACACTCTGCGTTTCCAGGACTTGGATGGAACTTCCCACCATTCGTTCCTGGAGCATTTCCACCGGTAGATCACTCGACTGCCTTCAAAATGGCTCCTCCTCCACACCCGGGATTTGGATATCCTCTGAAACCAGCACCACACGGCTCCAACAAGGCGGCTCCTCCTCCACACTCGACTCCATTCCCAGGATTTGCAAACTCTCCACCATCCTTTCCTGGAGCATTCCCTCCACATCCAAGCTCCAGCAAACCAGGAAGCGCTCCGCCAACGCATGGATCTCACTCCACTCAAGCACCGCCACCTTTCCACGGAACCAAGAAGCATCATCACCCATAAAAGCTCTGCAAAAGTATATGGAACTTTAGATCATCAAAATAAACAAGCAAAGTTTTGGAGTTTACCTTGTGACCGTTTCCTCACTGATTCTTTCTCCCTTCCACTTGGCGAATCTAATAAATCCTCCTCTTCCTGTCCAAATGTCCAAAAAGAATGGCGATGCTGCTACTTCTCGCCATGCTACTCTCGCCACAACTCCTCGCGGCCAGCGCAGCGAGAGACCTCTACATCGCCGAGCTATCGTCTCCCTCGTCCACTTTCCTGCCGAGGATCGTCCTTGGCCACGCCATCTGCGACACCTGCTGGGAGATGCAAATCACCGCCAACTCGATGCCTCTTCCCATCCTGAGCTTTGCTTGTTCTCCTCTTTTTCTTGTGTGATCTGTGCAGACGTTACCGCAGCTGTCGAGTGCTTCGATGCCGGCGGCCGGATCATCCTCCAAGAGACGAGTAACACCCGACAAAACGGGAGCCTTCACGGTGGAGCTCCCGCTCCAGATCGCCGACTCGGTTAGCATGCTCTCGACATGTACGAGTCGAGTGGTGAGGGGGCCACTCAATCACTGGTTGCCGGATGGACGGCAAGTCTATGGAGTCGGGCCCTTCATGTTTCGTCACCGAGCAAAAGCTCCCGCATTGCAGTGGCGATCACTGGCAGCAGCAAGCCGCAAACGCAATCCTCAATCCCTTCGCCTTCGTCGTCAGTTTTCCCTCGACTGCTACCATCGTCTGCATGGAGCGCTTCCAACACTGGAAGCGGTGGTCTCCAGGTCAACCTCTCCCTCCAAATCAGCACTTCCTCGTGTCTTCTCCCAGTTCTTGCAGCAACTTTTCCCCGTCCACTTCTTCGTCATCTCCATCTCCGGGAATTCCAACCTTCCCATCTCCACTGTTTCCATTCCAGACTATTCCAATGAGCACTCCCTTCACCATTCCTTTCCCAAACGTTCCCAGTATTTCTTTCCCAAGCGTTCCCATCCCTACGAGCATTCCTTTCCCGAAGATTCCCCCAATAACCATCGGTCCGACCACTCCAAGTACACCAGCCTTACTGTTGTGAAAAGTTAGTGACTGATCGGGATTGTCCAATACTTACAGGATCTGTATTTCAGCAAACCCCTTTCCCTGATAGATGATCACAAAGCCTTGTACTGCTCGATCAACTTCGAGGCGTGAAGACGTGAAGATGGATTCACAGTGCAACCGAAGCTCCGAAGAAACGCAATCTACAATCAGAGTTTTAGAGGGTCTATCGGTGCACATCCACAACCTGTTTAGCTGTTGCTGGAACGGAGCCCATTGTACGCTCAGAACATTTTTGCTGGAAGTACTCCTGGAGAGGCGCCTTATCAGACGAGTAAAATAAAATAATGTGAGAACAAACCTGTCGTTCAGCCATGTGTACTGAGCGCTCATGTGCAGGAAGTTTTTCCCACTTGACAATCTTATACAAATACAAACCGAAACAGCTTGCTATACGTATTTCCGGCCAGTAAAACTTACCTGGTCGGCGTACGCAAATGCTGCATCATCTGTCAATGAACGTTTCAACGCGTGCAATGTATCCTGGGTAAATTACGAAATAAAAGTTGATAAAGCGTATTTCTATGAATATAAAGACCTTATTCTTCGCAGTTTTTGATCGCAGCCGCTCGTCTATAGCCAAACCAACCTACAATTGAAATGACCACCATCACAAAAGCGTGTAAAATTGGTCTTACTTTCATGAGCAGACGTTTTGGATCTTGAAAAGCAGACTTCTTAGCCCATTGATGAAATATAGACGCGATGGTAGACCTGGCTTCGATATTGAAACTACAAAAACAGCTTCGTTAGTTGCACAAAATTGATCTATCAATATTTTCACCTTCTCAAAAACGCGGACGAATCCGTTAACGCGTTCTCGTCCAAAACATCCTTGCTAGACGAGTTACACACTAAGCCTGGAGGTTGCAATAGCTTAAATTTACCAGGACAGTCAGATAACCCCTGAAAAAAATCTATGAGAACAATGGCAAGCACAAGCAGGACCTTGCCTCGAACTGCAAATGCTGTCGCGGCAATTCACTTAAGAATCGCGATGGCTGCAAGATCTGAAAGAACAGCATAAAAAAATATTGAAAATAAATGTTTTACAGACCTGTCTTTGTGGGCTAACCACTATATATACTATATATAATTTCTTCCTTGCGCGAGTCATTGCAACGTAAAACAATCGCCTCTCTTCCTGTAACGGAATGCCAATAAATCTACAAAGACTGCTTAGAAGAAATAGCCATACCTCCAAAGATGAAGACTCGTGAAGCAGTGGCGTTTCCATATCGTTGGCCTAGAAAGATGAAATCAAAGCTAGCAAGAAGAGGGCAATCTTACCTTCACAATGAAGACGCTGTCCCACTCCAGTCCCTTCGACTGCAAACACAGAGAAAATGCTAAAAGAAACATATAAAGACGATAGGTTCACACCTGATGCATTGTTGTCAACGTTACTGAATTATGATTTTCTTCTCTGCGAGTTCGAAAGTTCTCGGTCTCTCGAACAGTTATATGGTCCAGAAAATCTTTAAGAAGCACTGAGCATCCCAGCTGCCGAGAATTTGGTTTCACTTCCTCTTGAAGCCTAATGTGCTTACACAGAAATTCGGAAACATCATCCAAAAGATAGTCCAACACCTGGAATCCAACACAAGTTAGACATATTTTAAAGAAGAATGTTTGCTCACAGTCCGACAATCTTCATCCTCGTTCAAGAGCTTTCCCCCCGATTCATCCACGACTGCACGAGATTCAAAAGCGCGTCTCTGCATAACAGGATAAGCATCTTGTTGAGAAACTTACTCTCACCTGAGGTAGCATATTCAATACAGCGGTCACTAGGCTCGACAAAGATTGTTCCTGGTTCAAAATGCAATTCATCGTAAAAATCAGATAGCCAGGGACTGCAAACCTTGGCAGCCAAGCGTTTCACCATCTCCACGGTAGTCAATACTTTCCGGCCTTGGCTAAGTTGGCGCCTGAAAAAGAGAAGAAATTTTTTTTGCACGCATTTATAATGCTTATGCAAGACCTGCTAAAGGTACCCGAAACTTTTGCCGTAAAAATAATCTCTGCTGCTTCAAGAAAACTACACTTTTCATTTTTTGCGTACTTTTCCACGTACTCCACTGCCTGAAAAATCCCAATGTCTGTATAAGATAGAAAACAGATATCATACCTTCTTTGTTTCCGTTTTATCACCACCATATAACGCCTTAAATACTCTTCTTTCAAACACGGTCCCACTTCTTCCTAAAGATGTCCACAATAAAGCAATCACGTCTTTAACCACCTACAATATGCAATGAAAGTCAGCCAACTAGAAAAGAAAGTGAGCATGGAACCTTCTTGCGGTAGACTGCTACTCCATGCATATTGAACGGAATCTTTCGACTACGGAAAGCAGATTGAAATATTTTACCTGTGACCTGCAAGCGAAAATGACGATAGAGAGAAAATAAATCAAATACACACCTGTCGTCTGTAGAGTATAGCAAAGTTTGCAAACACCGGCTTGATGTCACTGGCAATTGATGCCTTTTCCAGGATTTCATCAACCACAAATGCGCACTGTGCTTCTTCATTTCGGCACTCCATAACAACTATCTGGTGAACCAAAAACAGTCGGCAAAATATGTTCTGAATTCCTGATACCTTTTCTCCAAAATCGTTATCCGTTCGCACAACTTTAGCGCTGCAGCCTGAATCATTATGTTGAATGACACATCTCGCTGCTTCTACAATACAGCCAGTGGAGCGATAATTTTGGTGTAGTCTCACCTAAGCACGCAGACAACAAATCACATGACTACGTTATTTATTTCAGCTTTTTAGACCTCTTTGTGGTTTGGAAAGTCATTCCGGAATGTGGAAAAACCGAGAGAGTTGGCACCATTGAAGCTGAAAATGGACTAGCAAAAGAAAATATTAGCAGAACGTAGAGATGTCTTACTTGATCATCGTCCCCAACCACAGTGACCCTCCCGTGCAGAGAAAGAAGCCGCAAAAGCTTGTACTGCATCACACTCGTATCTTGGAATTCGTCAACCAGTACATATGCCCAAATGTTGTGACATTCCGCTAACACTGAAAAAAGGGTGTGAAAACGCATTGCAGTACACTGCACGCTTCTACCATCAGGATGATCAGTTAAAAGCTTTACAGCAAATCCAATGAAGTCATGGTAGTCCAGCGAATTGCAGGATGCCAGTATTCTTTCGTAATGCCTCAGAATAGCTGCCTGCACGGGTTTCGCTAGTAACAAGTTGTCCAAACATAGAGAGGAGCAAGAAATACCCCAAGATGATTTCCTGATTTCTCAATCTGCTCAGAATCCTGTCCGGAAGCTTTTACCTGCGACAAAATTCTTAGCCTCCGACATATCATTATAATTTTCGAAACAACCTGCGTTACGAACTGCTGCCATTTTTTCGCCCGTTCTCTCCACACTTCGGGTTTCTGAGCGTCACAGCTTTCTGTTGCTTCCAAAGCTAACCGTGTTGCCTCAATCACGGCCTTCCGTTGCTGGCTAGCTCCATAAACTAGAAACTCAGATGTCCTGTTCAACCTGCGAATCTACTGCTTAGCAAGCAGCATGACACAGGAACAGCTTACTTCTCCGCATGAGAGCGACAGAGTTGCAAGCAAAAGGAATGAAACGTCGAAATCATAAGTTCCTTGGACGCCTCCTTCCCCACCACAGCAGCGACACGGTCCATCATCTCCGTTGCAGCAGCTGTCGTGAAGGTCATTCCTAGAATGTTCTTGGAGTCTACCCCCTGTGCCGAACCCTTCAGCTTTTTAACAAAAAAAAACAAAGAGAGGACTGCATACCTCGTTTAACAATGTCAGAATACGTGCGACCATTGTAGAGGTCTGATAAACGAATCGACGTAGTCAGAAAAAACTAGGAATGAAAAAAAAAGTGTGTACCTTTCCACTTCCCGGCCCGGCAACAATCAGAAGTGGCTTATCAATGTTGCTCAGCGCTGCATCCCTTTGGGACACATTGAGCTTCCGGAGATACGTTGGCATGTCCGCTGCAGAACCTCCATCGCGAGCGTCTTCATTCCTCTTGCTACAAAGCCTATCAATCTCCTCGAAAGCGTCATCATCAAAATCGTCGAAGTCCTCAAACGCCCCCAATGAAGTATGGGGACCAACAGTGGATACTTGTGCTTTCCCTCCACCCACAGCAGCATTCACATCCACATCCGCGAGAGGCGGCCTCACCCCGCATACCTTCTTCCTGTCAGGGCTCTTCCTGCCACGATCTCTCACCACATTTTTCCGAGAGCAAAAGCAATCAATCGATACCTCTGGTCCAAATGAGCGCCGGCGCCGACGGATTTCCGAGCCAGCCGCGCCTTGGCAGCGCGATGGCTGGCCAGAATCCGTGCTCGCTGCTCCTCGCTGGGCACGCATCCCTGCATTTCAAAACCCTAGAGCGGGAAAAACCTCCAAGGGTGTTTTGCTAGAGACCCATAAACCCTAAAAGTAGAAAAGAGGAGAGCAATCATGGCTTCTGCTTGAAGCAACGGATCTTTGAAAGGTATGAAATTGCATTCTCGATTGACACAGTGATCTTTTTTACGTGCTATATATGAAATTTTTCCAAGTGGTATAATTCTAATCTTGCAAGTGGAGTGGAGTCTTGATCACGACGCCTGTGCACATAGGAATCGCTCCTTTCCCAAATTTCAACAGGGAACGATTCCGTTCAATCCAGGGACCAGATGAAAGCCCCAATTGCATACTGGCGCTTGGCTTCCAGGCCTCCCATGCTCCGCGCGGGCAGCCCATACTCCTCGAGCAGCCGATCCAGCAGCCACTCGGGCATCTGCTCGTACTCTGCCTTGGTGTACCTCGGGTAGTGAAGCGGCATCCGGAACTCGTATGGCACCGATGGATTGTGGAGCGAGATCGCCGAGTAGGGGCACCGCTCCTTCCTCGCCCTGTTCAACTCCCGATCCTTGTGCAAATTTGCCGGGTGAGACGATGGCGATGGCGGTGGCGATGGCGATCCATTGAGAGAAGCAGAGCTAGTAGGAGAGCTCCCGCCGCATCGAACGATCTGCCTCAGCCTCGCGAAGGACGACGATCGCCGTAGCTGGAAGATCTCGGGCGGCGAGTCTCCTCCTCCAGCGCTCACGGAGCCCAGCAGCATCACCATACCTGGATCTGACAGTGCGCGGGGCAGTGGGTTTTAAATCGGAAAAGGTGCGGTCGAATATTCTCTGGACTGGGAGTTACGCGCGAATGCAGGGAGAATCTGTGTCCCCACTTTAGGAAGCCAACTAGACTCTTCTACCACCACAGCAGAAACACTCACTCATTTCTAGAATAAAATTTCGTCGTGGATGATGGGATTCCTGGTCAGAAACAATGCGAAATTCATGGGTTTTTGTCGCAAGAGAGAGGGGGGGAGAGGGGGAGATTTTGGCCGCCTTGGATCGCATCAATCCGGTCCTCGCATCCCAGGCTCCAAAACGAGAGCGGAATTCGAACGACCGAGAGGACTCTTAATCGATTGCATATAAGATCGTCGCGAGTCCCTCCAAAACCACTGGTTTTGTCTCGATCGTGAAGCTAGGCTGTCATATGAAACACCACGCACCTCCACACGCGGCGGCAAATCCACGTCCGTGTTCGTCCGGGAGTGGCCGCCACCCTCTCACGAGCGCCACACAAGCCCAAGACTTATATAAAATCTTTTGGCCCTCTCCCTGGCCGGCCCTCTCTGGGCTCTCCACATTTCTCTCAGCCCCATTCAAGAATTGATTCTCCCCCTCGCGAGAATCATACAAACACAATGCCTGTCTATGCCGAGGATCATCACCACCACGCGTTTCCCGCCTCCTGACTCTCCGCCACCAAGGAGGTGTCCGAGCCCGATAGGTTGTTCCATTTTTTCGACAAGGAGGAGGAGAAAAAGATGGCGTCATCATTCTGCCACCCGTACTCGCCGGTGACCAAGAACCCGGCGGTGCCGTACGTGTTCCCAGATGCCTCTCCACTACCCGAGGTACACCAAGGCCGAGTACGAGGCTGGCAGCTCGACCGCTTGTTCATGCTCCTCATGGGAACTCCCCGTGACAAGCGGGACTACGCGATTGGCGCGTTTCTCTGGAAGTGAGATCGATTATGATCGAGTTCTTCCAAGGTTGTAGGAGAGAGATCTTAGAGCTGCGAGAAGTTTCAGGAATTTGAGCACCCACAAAACATGGTGAACATCGGTTTGTGTCTAAGCTCTTGTATAAACTGTATGTGAATCTGGAAGTTCGCTACCACTCAAAATGGAGGACGCAAGTCAACACAAGGAAAGAACACATCCCCCTTCCCTCTAGTTGCTCTGAACGCCAGATGAAGGTGCCCATGGCGTACCGTCTCTTCCAGCTGATTGCTCCGCCCTAGTAGATCCACCATCACGGTGTAATGCTCCGGAGCCCATACTCCTCGAGCAGCCGATCGATCTACCACTCGGGCATGGTGGCGTTCTGCTGCTTGCTAAAGATTGGAGTGGCATCTGGAACTCATGGGATGACGAATAGGAGGCGAACGTTTGTGTATTTCAATTGAGTGGGCCATTGAAGCCGAAGGACGTAGACGCGTTGTGGTTGAGTCCCGGATCAACTTTTGAGCAGATAGTGCAGTGTCCTTCTCCTACATCGAGGATGGTCGATCCGTGGCGAAACACTGGAACAGATAGTCGAGAGCGGCGTACGATCCGAGAGCTGTCGTGCCCACCATCGTCGAGTATCCCGAGCTCCACACCAACTTCAGGAGAATCAACGCCAAGCTGCCCTTGTTTCGTGGTGACCATCCAAGCAGCTGCCCTTGGCCCGGAATCTTTCGAACGCACGGCCTGGGATGTGAAAGAGTTTGGTGTGAGTCTTCGTTTTGGGTCAGTTGCTGCTCCTCGAGCTAAACCAAAACCAAAGGACGACTGCGAAGCTGTTACGCTTCGTGATGGTCCCGAAGTGACTCATCTCAGTCACTCTCCAGCCAACCAAGTGTACAAAGTGCAGTACTACACTCGCCATGGTGGAGAGATGATCATGAAGATAGGAAATCACAAAAGAGTCATTCAACTTTGCATTGATTCCAGGTTCTGGCATCAGGTGCGTAAAGCAGCTTAAATCAGCTGCGCCGCTGGCCAACACGGAACAATCGTCTTGCAGGTTGAAACAGAGACAGGGGTGCTCCGATGCTCTGGTTAGGGGAAGACGGCGCTACTCTCATCGCTTGACGGATCGCCATTGGCACAGGGATACGACTCTTGGGCAATGCCAGCGATGGACGCGCAGTTGCTGTGTAGGGACTTGACGCATGCTATGCTTGAGCTTTACGTAAGTTGATCTTCTTGGATGTTATAGCACCACGCCATCTCCTGGGCAGGACCACGGATACTTCCGCTGCTACATACGGGCGCACAACGTCGGAGCACGCCTCGTGCCGAAGGCCGCCGCTTCTACCTTGTCGGGATGTGGTTCCTCCGCTGCGAGGTGCCAAAAGGTGGGGATTTTCTCTTGAGCTTGCTCAGTTGCTGACTGTGCATTGCTCTTGTTCTAATCCTATTTACGGGCATTGGATATTATTGTTTATCTATAATAGACGTGGATCAAGGGCAGATGATTTTGCTCAAGCTTGCAAAAAAGTGAGCCCCTTATAGTAGCAGGAGCACCTTCTAAGTAAAGATTGAATGGAGATTTTTGGTGTCAAAGTGGCCCCCCAAGCACTAGAAGTGAGGTAAAAGTCTTAGCACCACACGCATTCGAGAAAAAGAAGGAAGCTGAAAGGTATGATTACGGGGGTGTTTTTCGGTGACTATTGGGTTTTGGGAACGACAGATACGTGACGAATGGTGATGAAAGTAACACTATCAACGGCTCAGACACAATCAAGAAAATGGTGGAAAAAAAAGTCATGCAAGACTATTATGTACAAGTCGCCGCTGCTACATGAAACTTTTCTCCACTTCCATTTTGCGTGTGTTTCTTGACAACACATTCAACTTTAAAGGAGGAGGAGGAGGAAGGAGTTTCCAAGTCTTTCCTGGAAAGGTTTTCTGAGCTTACAGCACAGCTGACGGGAGCAAAGCGTCACGTTTCGAAGGATTTGCCTATAAATTGCGGCGAGGGGGAGAGATCATCCATCCATCCAGCTTCAATCTTCTCGAAAACGAGCAAATCCGAGAAGAAAATGGCCGCGTTTTACAAGCTTGCAATTCTTGTTCTTCTTGTTTGTCTCGACGCCACTGCTGATGCGAGGAAGTGGAGTCCCAAGAAGCCACCGGCGGTTCCCCCAATGGTCTTTGGCGCCATCTTTTGCGACCGATGCATGGACAAGACCTTCTCGTTCGCAACCATCGCCATTCCAAGTAAGTATCTAGTGTGTTCTTCCAAGAAGTTGAAGTTTGGATACTTAACGCTCTCGCTTGATCACCAAAGACGTGACCGCGATCATCCGGTGCGGTGACTTCCAGGCATCCAACACCACCTCCGAGTTTGGCGTCTTCACCATCGCGCTGCCGCTAGAGGTGGGCACCTCTCCCGCGAAGCTGGCGTCTTGCTCTGTCAAGGTGGCCAGCGATTTCTCCAGAGTCGAGGGCGATCTCGGCACTTGCAACACTCCCGTCAAGTTCCAGTTCCAGCCTTGGAGCCCGCCATCGCCACCATCGATGCCCGCATTTCAGTCGTCGCTCAAAATTGCCCGTCCATGGCCCTTCTACAGCGCTGGGCCTTTCTTCTTCCAGCCGCCGGAACCTCTTCCATCCTGCAACGAGAATCCTTTCCGCCATCCAAAACCAGCAGTAGCCGATGATCAGGGCTCGAGCGCGGCTCCCCCTCCACACCCTGCTTTTCCAGGATTTGGAAACTTCCCACCATTCTTTCCTGGAGCAATTCCTCCGGTAGATCACTCCACTGCCAACAAGGCGGCTCCTCCACACCCGGTTTTCGGATATCCACCATTCGCATTTCCTCCTCCAAGCCCGAAACCAGAACCACACGGCTCTAACAAGGCGGCTCCTCCTCCACACTCGACTCCATTCCCAGGATTTGCGTGGTTTCCAGGAGCATTCCCTCCACATCCAAGCTCCAGCAAACCCGGGAGCGCTCCGCCAAAGCATGGATCGCCCTCCGCTCAAGCACCGCCACCTTTTCACGGAACCAAGAAGCATCATCACCAATAAAAGCTCTGCATTTAGAACTATGGACATCAAAGAAAAGCAAAGTTTTGGAGTTACCTTGTGACCGTTCCTCAATTCCAGGCACTGATTCTTTCTTCCTTCCACTTAGCGAATCTACAAATAAATCCTCCTCTTTTTGTCCAAATGTAAAAAAAACGGCGATGCTGCTACTTCTCGCCATGCTGCTCTCGCCACAACTCCTCGCGGTCAGCGCCGGGAGAAACCTCTACACCGCCGAGCTATCGTCTCCCTCTTCCACTTTCCTGCCCAGGCTCGTCCTTGGCTACGCCATCTGCGACACCTGCTGGGAGATGCAAATCACCGCCAACTCCATCTCTCTTCCCAGTACGTGCCTCTCTAGCTTTTGCTCGATCTCCTCTTTTCCATCCTTGTGTGATCTGTGCAGACGTTACCGCGGCTGTCGAGTGCTTCGATGCCGGCGGCCGGATCATCTTCAGAGAGACAAGCAGCACCGACAACACGGGAGCCTTCAGGGTGGAGCTCCCGTTCCAGATCGCCGACTCGGTCAGCATGCTCTCGACATGCACGAGCCGAGTTGTGAGGGGGCCGCTCAATCACCTCTGCACGTATCCCTTGGCCCACGCTTACAACCCCTTCCTGTCTCCACGCTCGTTGCCAGATGGACGGCAAGTCTATGGAGTCGGGCCCTTCGTGTTTCGTCCCCGAGCAAAGCTCCCGCATTGCAGTGGCGATCGCAGGCAGCAGCAGCCGCAGCTCGTCAGTAGAGCAGTTTCATTGCAGCCGCAGACGCAATCGTCAATCTCTTCGCCTTCCTCGTCAGTTTTACAGTCACCTTCCTCGACTGCTACTACTCTTTCCAATCCATCGTCTGCATCGAGCGCTTCCAACACTGGAAGCGGTGGTCTCCAGGTCAACCTCTCCCTGCAAATCAGCACTTCCTCTTCTCCCAGTTCTTATATCAACTCTTCATCGTCCTGTCCATCCCCTTCGTCATCTCCATCTCCAGGACTTCCAACCTTCCCATTTCCACTGTTTCCATTCCCGACTATTCCCAGTATTCCTTTCCCGTACGTTCCAACCATTCCTTTCCCAAGCGCTCCCAGTCCCACCAGTATTCCTTTTCCGACCATTCCTTTTCCGACCATTCCCCCAATAACCATCACTCCGGTACCAATTCCTACCACTCCACAAGCACCAGCTGCTTACCCGGCTCCATCGAAATCGCCATCGCCTCTATCATTTACTCCACCAAGTCCTGCTCCCTATCCTACACCGTCCCCGGCACGCTAGGACACCATCCTGGTTGGAGTTTTTGTACAGAAAAGTAA